CGAGAGCGGGAGGTCGTTTGTTCGAATCCCGACCGGGCCAAACAAAGACGTTAAAATTGGTATTTGCTATTTCAACGCTAAACACCTGGCATCATAGAGTAAGAGCACAGACTGGTCGGCTCAGAGTCGGAAATGTGTCCGGGTCGGGTGTCTTTTCTTACTGCGAACTAATATCTTGTAAAATTACACGTTAAAAGCGTGTCAGTCTAGTAAAAAGCGGGGTTAATACTCGTATCATATTTACATGTTATCGTCCTGAATATTCATTTTATTTGCCGCTGGTCGTCATCCATTATCATCATTCATTTACCGTTATATTATACTGTGAAGTGTTTTTCTTCTACTGGTTTATAGTACAACTTCTTACATTTTCACCGATCAAAATTAAAATAGGGAAGGTGAAATTTTTCAACCAAACACTTCTTGTGATTGTTGGGATACCTTTGACGGTAAATAATATTAAATAAAATGTGCCTTTTGGGATATATAATAGTTGACGGTAAATATTATTGAATTAACTCCGTATAACTATTATTTAGTCATGGGGCGGTTTTGAGCTTTTTATTCTGTATACGCATCTTTCTATAAAAACCGAATGTTGAATCTTAATGTTTTCATTTGTCTTTGTCTTTGGGTTGCTGTCGCATTAATGTATACCTTTATATCCTTTTATTTAAAACAAAATGATTCACTTGGGTATAGAGATATTGACATGTCTGGACCTCTCCCGTCCCACAGTAAAACCTTACTTTGGGTGCGTTCGTTTGGCTTATCGGATATATAAATGCGCAGCTTTGTCTGATCGAAATAGGAATGTATTTCCGATAACTGCACGCTATCTATACGTTAAAACATTAGAGGGAAATACGATCTACGCACGAGTTAAATGATTGAAATGTGTAAACAACAAAAAGATCGGCTAAATCTTTTCAAATAAGTCGCATGGATAATTTTAACACATTTTTTGCCACTTTTGTCAGGACAGTTGTAGATGAACAAAATTTAATTAACAAAACCGATTAGCAAGACAATAACTAAATAAAAAAAAAATGAAACACTCAAAATAAGTTGAATACTTATATAAATTAATGTCAACATTTTTTTTATCCATTGTTGCTTTTATGTAAACTATTAAACCAGTCTGAGATATTAATAAATTTAAACAGCAAATGTTGTCACCTAGACGATACAGTCGTCATTGTACGCTTCAATATAAGAGTTATTGCCACTCAATGAAGATTGTTTTTATGTTCTTATCCCCTCTCCTATTAGTTTTGCTGGAAAGGATACAATGTAACCTCTGATGTGTACTACGACAACGTTTTTTAATGTTAAAAAAAAAAGATTAAATGCAAAGAGAAAAATGATGGAAGAAATGCTATTAAGATTTACGCTTAAAAATGCAAATGTAAATAAAATTGAAATATATAACATTAGGAAAACTGGTAGAGACAATTACCAACTGAAGACAAATGATTATACATCACTAAATGAAGGTGATAAATTAATTGCTCCATTAATGTCCAGTGGCAAATATGTCATATTCACGACGAGTGGATCAACCTGAAGCAAATGATTACAATTTTAGAGTAGCACTTTTTACAATAAGGCAGAGCGTTCGATTAAGGTAAAACGTATGCCGTAATAGAAAACAGTTGAACCATGGTCGAAGTCGTAAGTTAAGCTATTAGCCCTCCTTCCCTTTTTTTTTCTTCCACGGTAGACGAATGTCAAAAACAAAACGTCATGAATTTACAATCGATAACGGCCACTATAAGTAAATGAGATATATGAACTTTTTTGTAAGTAAATTCCTATTGCAGCCAACATTTCCCGGTTCGAGATGGGTTAGTATTTCCACTAAAATACCGTTTGATTATTGACCGCAGATATTAAAGCAACCAAAATCACGTTGAATAAAAAAAAATCTAAAATTGTAAATTATGGTATTTTGCTGGGTGTTTTCCCGATCCTATTTCGGACCCCCTGATTTTAAGAGGGCGTATCTAATTAGTCATGCCCGATTAACTTTTAGTAAATTGAACCTCAACTTAAAGACCTTCACCGGGTAAATAAGTTCGAGGTACAATAAGTAGACAATAGAAATCCTTTGTGAAATGAGATCGTCCCAGGTCTCTTAGATAATAATTTTGCGTTGAATAACAATGAAAAATGCACGAGCAGGTTTGTAATAGACAAAACATGCTTCTGACATACACAATTTCATCCTGTCACATGTATTGGTAATACCAAGGCCATAATCTTGCCGGCGAAATGACGATTTAAGTCGCCAAAGAATTTTGAAAATCGCTAAAACTCGCCGGCAGCTGACTTCTTAGCGAAGTCAAATCGCTATCAAAATCGGTATAAGGGAGACACCGTATCTATGGAGTTTATTTACAACCACTTGGTCGATGCCAATGCTGGTGGAGGTTTCTTCCCGAAAATATCACCAGCCCAGTTGTTAGCACCTCTGTGTTGAAATGAATTTTCATCGACATGGACATAATAATAAATCAACTGTTCATGAAACTTAAAATGTTTCGAAATACTAAGGATTTCCTACCCCAGCAATAGATTTTTTACCAAACTTTTTTTAGATTGAATACTTACTTCAGTTCAAACATGTGTAGATTAACGAAGGTTTTTTTTTAAATAAGAAGAGGTCGACAAGGAGAGGCGCACAGTTCGTTCCCATAGGAATGCCGACAATTTGTCGAAAACGTCTACCTCCGAATTCAACAAATATGATGTCAATAAGAAACCCCAACATACTGATAATTTGTTCTTATGTGTGACTTGTTTTACCTCTTTGTTCACTATTAACAAAATATGCCGTATGGTATCCAAAAGTAATAAATTTATAGCGTATGTATGCTACCATTTTTATGTTGAAAAGCATTGTGCATTATTTCTTTTAGACGATTTTCTATTTCACATGGGAACGGTGGTATATAGGGTTGAAAAATCTAAAGTTCTGATAGTTTTTTAGAATCCACATATGGTTTATACCACTACGCGAGTAAACAGTTTCAAAGTATTTCTGAAGACCCTCTTTCACTGCGGACAAAATTCGTCGAACATGCAGATGAACCGGCAATGTACCGTTGTTTGTACGGAATTTTTTGAAGCATGGGTATCCAATACAAACAAGGTAAGTCCTCTGATTTGCTGTTCAATGTTATGTTCATTGAAGCCATGAAGGACTTATGATTCGCCAAAATCTCATCCTTGACAAATGATATGTTTTTGTATATGGGATTACCTGAGTGATCATTTATTCCTAATTCTTTTACAAGAAACTCGTAGTAGTACGATTTTCGTACAAAAGACAATATTATTTGAAGCTTTGTCAAAATAAATAAAGTTTATTCAATCACCAAAAACAGTCATCTGTTTGATAGAAAGTTATAATCCGATGAAGTTCAACTTGTTAGTTACACAATATACTTAGATTGGATCATCACTAAATATTTCCTCAGATAGAATCTTTCTAGTTTTTGCAACAATGTAGATTTTACCATGCTTTATTCAAAAATATGATAAAAAGAATATGGATCACCGTGCTATCTTTCAAGATACAAGTCGTACAAGTTACCCAATTTTGAATAGATTATTTATGAAAAAAACACCGTTTTTGTAAAACATTGTATAGCATGAAATAAAATCTGAGAAGATAAATTTTATAATATGATTTTAGAAAATGAAAAAAAAAATTTGTCACAGAACTCTTTTTCTGCCTATAAGTTCATGAACATTCCTTTAAATTTTTCACTATAAGAGTCCACCTGATGGCTGTGTAGAAAATTTGAATCCAATTATCAAGAACAAATATTTGGTATTTGTAAAAACTGTTTAAAATGATGAAAACAACACGTTACTAATTGCATGTGTCCGAAGCGCTCTTCTGGAATTACCTTCATCAGGAACGCTCAAAACCGAATATTTGAAAGCCGAGAATGTATAAGAATCAAAACAGTTGAAGAGCTTTACAATCAAAAAGTACCAAAAACATAGCCAAATCCATCTAAATAATGCGATATATTACATAAATTACCATTCTGTCTCGCAGATTTAAGTAAAGAACTGGACCGATGGTGTATTGCTATTATAAAATCAAAGATGGCTGTATACAATTAAACTACCTTATAAGTTTATCGTTTTTGTGTATGAATCACTGGTGTTGTTTTAATAGTTTCACAGTTCCATTTAGTGTATTTAAGATTAACAAGGTACACATGCATGAAAAGATATATATTCCAGTGATATTTATTCAATGATTTGTATATGCATGTACACAGAATTTGTATTTCGTGTTTTTTTCTCGCGAAAATATACCTACCGTGAAAATATATTCACTTCGAAAGTACATATATACATGTAGTAACTCAAATATTTGAATTTGAATTTAGTAGATAAATTGGACGTTCTTTTACATACTTATTTTTAAAATCAAAATAATTTGTTTGTATTGCTGTAAATAAATTTTGTTGGGATACAAAATGAACAGGTATATGATAGGTTAATGGCAACTCTAGTTCATATACAAACGATATCTGTTAAAAAACATAAATGTCCTTAGCCTACGATTAGAGTTTATAAATTATAAGCAATCAAATAAATATCTTATAAAGCAGTTCAAATCGAAAACACGGTCTAACTATCTGGTAACGAATAAAGCGCTTATAATAAAGGACAAATTGAGGTTAGAATAAGAACAGTCTCAGTCACAATGCTTAGAAAAAAAATATCGTTGTAACATAGTTTTTGCAGATTACCTTCATAAGCCACAAGCAAATTTTCACTGGTTCAGAAACTCATATTTTTATTTGGTATTGCTCAATGATAAGAGATCGTATTAATAACTTACAAAGCGATAGATGTCTTGTCTAATCCTAATCAGTTTGATGGTAAAACAATGACGTTTTCAGACGGTTTGTGTGTTAAAATAATAATTTTGACTTTGAAAAATTCTTGAAAGGATTTCATTTCTATTTCAGGCTTTAAAGATGTAATAGAAACATATATTTAAGCATACATAAACACACCAGATTTTTTGGAGCCAAAGCAAACTGATGCCTTTGGATTACACAAGGTAACATATTATAAACTACAATGCACACATATGGTAGAACATGATTGGATATGAATATATTTTCATTGCATTCCTGGTTTGGCTCTCCCCGTCACGTTCATAAGAAATACATTATTAATTCTACAAACAACAACTCTGGTGGATAGTTATCTCATAGAAACTCAAAACACATCTTTTATTTCAATATTCATTTATCTTTTCATTTACAGAAGATTGCACGAAGAATGTTTTCTATACTGTTCAACATGTAATCTTTAAAGAGGCTTTAAAAATTCATTTCAACAGAAAATTCTCTAACATAATAAATAATAAACAACTGGAAAAGTTCAAAAAATGTAGTGTTTTTGTGAATGATATTTTGATAGCACTATATGCTAATTTCTAGATGCCTATCTTGACAAGTAATATATAATTTTACTGAATTATGTGCTCATTTTGTTTGGTGCCAATTTCGACAAGTAATCCTTATGCTCATCTCATTGATGCTCGAGGTCAACATATAATGCACGCTGGCTTCACATTAGATTTGTTCTCATCTGTACATAGATTTTAATTACCTGTACATGAGAATTGTTCACATCATTAAACCACATGTGCACGTAATTTACATGCACATTACATAGAATTAAATTGGAAATGTCTCTATTAACTTTTTTGTCAATAAGACATAGACAAATTCATATTGTTTTTTTGTATTTTTTTTTGTATTTTTTTTTGAGGGGATTGTGTGTTGTAGGGATAAATGTATATATTAAATTGTTTAAATTCACATTTTTAAAAGAAAAAAATGCATTTGTTTCAGCAGATTATTAAGAAATATCACCTGATCCATTTAAAAATTAAGGGCGGGGGATTCAATACGGAGTTTAAAAAATATTCCTGTATTCATTTGAAAAAAAATGTCTGTTTTCACTAAAGTTATAAAAATGGTGGGTTGTCTCACGAAAATGAATGGTGCGTACATTAAGAACATCTTTCTATTGATTTGGAGAGCTCTGAGAGAAATTGTAATTGCATATGTTGGTTAAATAGCTGCCATGATAACATCGATAACATTTTAAAGGAAAAAACAAACACAATCCTTAAAGAAATTAGGTATCATGATTATGCTTAAGAAATAGTAAACAGTATTTTTATGCGATTACTTAGTTTAGATATATGTACAATGTTTAAATATGACACAATTGAATGCACATTGGGCATAAACATAGTTATTGCTCCCTCACAACAAAAGTTTGTTCAGAACAATGGCTTTTTTTTCTTTTTAACAAGGGATTACTCTGATAATTTGCATCTCAAGAAGTAATCTAAGGATAATAAACTTCCAGGTAAATGTAAAGAATAAAAATCAATGCTGAATATTAGCTTCAAATAAAACTACCATCAAAATATGTGTAATATACTGCAAGAGATGTTGATAACGCGATTAACTTTATTAGTCATCTGTGAAATAATGTATATCTCTTTTTTTGAAATCACCCTCCATTATATTTGTTTCATGAATAAATGCATGTACACAATATAATGCATGTAACATATATTCTGTTAAAACATATTCAGGATATTTACAGACTGTGTGCTAGATTGAGGCTTTTTCAAGTTTTTATCATGCTTTAGGTGTATACTCCTGTACTTTTATAGTTATGGCATTATAAATCTGGTACGTGAACTACTATACATTATCTCTATTGACCCATCTATTTATCAACATTTTCTTGCCAAACATTATCAAACCAAATCATTTATCCTGTTCATACTTTATTTCGATTGAGATATGACTAAGAATTAGAAAATTGGCCATCACCTGTCTTGTTTCGTCAGGCAGTAAGCCATTGCCAAAATGGGGTATCAGTTTGGTCGTTCAGATTGTATAATTACACAGAGTTGTCATGTTCCTAATGCCTGTCGATACTTTTATTATGGCATTGCATTAGTCATGTCTTCTTTAACTGTCCGTGACATTAAAACACTAAATCCCTGGGATGTGTTTTAGTTGATTTTAGTCTCTGATTCATAATTTTTTATTGATAATTGTTTTTGGCTTTTAACTAGCTTTCAGTTACTGCGAGTACTCTGAAATCGTACTTTCGTGTTAACTTGACCTGTTGATACAATTTGTAATGTATTTTTGTTATTTAATGTTTACTAATTTAGTGCTATATTTCGTCTCACTATTTTTAATATTTACCACCTTTGATTAGTGTTTAGTATGACGATAAATTTTCACTTCTGTTCTCGTACTATGCACAACAAAATTATTTAATTTGTAAAAAATATTTCCGTACTCAATGTATACCAAACAACACAATTATTTTTATTGACCCGTGTACGTGATTTTATTTGGCGGCATTTTGTCTAAGGTTATAGTTGTTTTTCTTATATTGTTTTACAACTAACTCCCTTGTTTTACAGATTTTGTATGTACATTGTGTCATGGATCAAATTTCAGTGTATGTTCACTTGTTTTTGGTTATATGTCGTTTGATTGAGTTAAGCCATTTCAATTGATATTTTATAGCGTGTCTTTCTATGTTATGATGTTACACTATTGTTTCAGGTAGGGTGAAGGTTGGAGCCTTTTAAAACGTTTAAACCAGCTGCATTTGTTTGGACCTGTCGTTTGTTGATGTGGTTCATAAGTGTTTCTCGTTTCTCGTTTTTATATAGATTAGACCATTTGTTTTCCTGTTTGAATGGTTTTACTAGTCATTTGTACATTGTATTTTCGGCATACAAGAAATTACTGGTATAATGTCGGTTAGAAATTTTGTATCACTTTTTAACTTATATTACTGAAAATATACGTCTGTTAAATTTCATTCGACTAAAAGTAAATTATAGCGATACCTTTCAATTACTCTGTCAGTATAGCTGTTCTAATATGGTAAAGTATATATGAGCTGATCAATATAGAAACGAGAACTTATGAGAGGGGGTGGACTGTCTTAATTAATTATTGGTAATTAGGCTGGATCTATTATTGACTATTTTCATTACTATTTATTGAGTAAATATATTTTTTCACGAGGAATGCTCAACCAATAAAGCAACGCACCACAAATCTACAATATAAGTAATTGTATATGCTAATTTAAAGGGGCATTAGATACGAGATATTAAACAAAAAATAATTAAAATATGATTTTGTTTGTTAAGTAATTAATAAAAGTGAAATTGTGAAGTAACAATTCGCTTTTTACAGCTAGTTTGGTTCAACTTTGTCAAATTAAGGTAAGAAACATCGATGTTGAATTATTTACTTGCAAGTGAATAATTCTACCTCGTTGAATCAGCATTCATGCGACCTTCAATTTAACCCTGTATCTAGAGATTGGTTACGCAAGTATTAGGCGTGTTCAGCCATTTAAAGGAAAAGAATGTCAACGTTGAAAGTGAAACAATGGTGAACCATTTTGTTGACTGATTCGATCCACAAAAAACCATTCTTTTAAGGTGAAAACGATGATTAACTTATTTTTTTAACCTATACCATGAAATCAAACAGACCTAAAAAAAAAAAGAATCCAATTGCACGTGTTATATTTGTGCTTATGCTTATATCTGGTTATGTGACCGTCGCCAGTTTTTGGAGGTAATTTTGATGGTTACTTAGATGACGTCTAGACTAAAATACACACGAAATGCTGATATATATGATCGACTCCATGCATTGTTAATTGTTTATTTCAGACTGATTGTAATTTTGATATACATTTTAGTATGTTATAAATCAAATATGAGTATTTGAGTCAAATCGTTGAACATGAATTTGACAGCTAATGCCCCGTAAACTTGTGCACTCTAAAAGAAAATAATATTAAAGCCAAAACAAAGTACGGATTTATTTTTTTTTAAATCTGTAGCGAAAATGAAAACAAGTTTTGACCATATCAACACAAGCAGATAATGGCAAAGTAAATTGTGGTATATTTGAAATTAATAACGTGAAAGTTACTTAATAATTTAAAAGTTACTAAGAAATATAGTAGTGGTAAAAAGAACAAAACTGAGGTACTCAGTATGGGGTTGCTAGGTGCTATACTGATGTATCATTAATTATTCCATTGCTGATATCCTTCGGTTGCAACAGTTACAGACTATCAAATTAAGTAATTCTTGGTGATAATGGATATTGTCATCGTTTAAGCCAAAGAAAAGAATGAACATAAATATAATACTGAAAAAAATCCTATGTTATACTGTACAGATGATGTTATCTGTACAAACCTAACATGTATACGTCAATCACCTCAAGTAAGTTGTTAAATCACTACATTGTTTGTCAGTAGTTAATGCTCCTATCATTTCAATGACATTTTTAAAACGTTCAACGACCAACATATTCGTAATTTTTTTTTGATTTGCAAGTAGAATTAATTTGAAGGAATTTAAAAGTAACCCTCGAAACACCTATCTTTCGCACAACCATAAAAATCAGAATTGTAAACCAAAAAAAAAAAAGATGAATACCAAAATATTTTGTAAAATCTTCACAAATTGCACTCGAAGCAAATTTTAAATATCGTTAATTACTGTATGTGGTATGCTTATAATGCGAGCAATAAAACTTGTACCTTAGTAGCAGTTTTGAAATGAAAAAAAACCCAACTGATATAGCCAGTGCTTACTTGAACTATTCGCGAAGATAAACTTACACACCCATATCCTTGATTGACGTTTGCGTATGCTAGTAACTGAAATACGGATGACAAAGAAAATCTGAGGCGAAAGATACCAAAGGGATATTCAAACTAATAAGTCAAAAATAAACTTAAATACAATGGCAAAAAAACGAAAACGATGAAAAGATATACAACACACAACAACAAAAAATAAAGACCGAAAACCGGGTTGAAAAAATTTGCAAAGGAATGATTTCAATGAAGATTAAAAATAAAAAGGACTTGTTTCTCATGTATAATTTGATGTATTAAATGCATGTACATCCTACATTAAACAGACATGCATATTTACACATCAGTACCTAACAATACACTAGTTTTATTTATATATTTAATACCATCTGTGAGATATCGCCTTGACAAGGCAATAGCTTGACAGGGCCATAACTTTTCTTAAATTCAATAGACTTCATTGAACTTACTTATACGACAAACATACACATCTAACAATGTTCTTACTTCCATGGTGATATGAGAAACCATGTGAATGATTTTAAATGACACAGATGTATATTAGGATCTTACAATATACATAAACACATTTCATGTAGAAAGCATAAAACATGTGGGGAGCTGCTGTGATGACGTCTGCTTAATAGGGTCAAAACTTCAAATTTGAAACGAGCATGACTCTATTAAACTCATTAAACAGGAACATCCCACCTACCTTTACATCTGCATATTTTAATCTAACACTGCAACAAATTTCTTGTAGATACGATAAACCATGTAAAATGGGTAAGGGTAAACATTTCTAAGGGGTACACATAGCATTTGTTTGAAGTGAATCAAGCAAAGACACAGAAGGCCTATTAACACCCCATCAAACACACTTGTACTGTTCGTCGTTTCGTCGTTTTCGTTTTTGCCATTGCATTTTCAGTTTATTTTAGACTTATTAGTTTGACTATTCCTTTGTTATCTTTCGCCATCACGAGTTAGTTGACCGTTATGAAACATCCGTTTCACAGATGACTGCGGACATGTTCCAATTGTCGTAACTACAATCCCGTCCCCTTTTCGCCGAATTTGACCTACCGAATTAGACTTAATACCGTGTTTGTATTATTAATATGAGCTACACGACGGGTGCTGAATGTGGAACAGGATCTACCTACCCTTCCAGAGCACCTGAGATCACACCCAGCTTTTGGTGGGGTTTGTGTTGCTCCGTCGTTGGTTTTCTATGTTGTGTTTTGTGTACTGTTATTTGTCTGTTTGTCTTTTTCTTTTTTAACCTTGGCGTTGGTGTGTTGCACTTCCAAACCTATGTAGTTCTTCAACAATAGACACTTTGCAACACTATAATATATACTATGATTATTATTTCTCTTAGTTTGTTGATTTTGTATTGCTGTATTGTGGATTGCAGTTTACAGTTTTTTTTTATTATAGCTCGAAACACAAAATGTAATTCATAGGTAAAACTCTAAAAAAAGTTAATTGTATTGTTTTTCTCTTTCTTCAATAGCCATTGCCCAAAATGTAGATTAAAGGGAAGCCATTATTATTCATGAGGAACAACTCTTTTAAAAAAATCAAATGACAATCAAGGCTACATAGAACTAAATGTATTTGGATATTTTGTTCTCCTAGCCTTTTTACTGTTTAAAATTTATATAAATCTACTTTAGTTTGGCTTTAAACGAATAACAGTCATCACCAAAGGACAAGGATTCATAAAAGGTGTCGACTGACAATTTTTGGATATATTTTTTTTCAAGTTTGAATTGAAAATGACATTTCGTGACACAACTATCGTTACCATCGATAAACAAAATTGCTTGCCAAATGGTTATTAAAGTTTGCCGAAACAATTTGGAGATTTTATTACCATATTCATATTACTCTTTACATCGTTTGTAAATACTATCTCTTTTTCATAATATCGTCTCGTAATCAAATTAAGATTGACATTGATATGTACAATTTTGTTAAATTCAGATTAAAAGATTGTAAACCTGAAAATGAGAACCAAATATGGTTTCCAGTTGAAGGAGACCTGACGATTGAAGGTACGTTATATATGAAGAATCTCAGATCTCCGCCTGAAATCTAATTTGTTTTCGACAAAAATATTATGACATTGTTAATTAAATAACAGTTATGGCGTTAAACGCTGAATATGAAATACCATTTTTAGTGAAGCCAGTTGTAAGAATTTTCCTCTGGTTAAAACCTACAATTTGCTCATTTTACGAAGCGTGATTCGAATTACTAGTATCATCAACTTCAATGATTCCCCGATTTATGAAAGCGCCGGCTGTCTCCTTTAATTGGCATGGAATATGATAAACACAATTTGAAATTCTTCTGAAATTCATTATTTATAAGAGAGAAATTGTTTCAGTTTAGTTGTATTTCAAAATTTATGATCTCTATACAGAGGTTTTCCTTTTAACGAACCCGGGGACTGGTTAAGACTTTTTTATGCAATATTTGGCTGTTTATTCGATAATACGATTAATTTTTCATTTTGTCTGTATATATTACAGCAAAATTTATATCTTAATATAATTATAAGTATACACTGAATTAAATATTAATGTGTGAACGAACATCATTAACCACAAGCATTATCCCATGCAGTTGTTTTCGTTGGTCGCTGTTTATGATATTTCATGATCGTGTGTTGTTTTGTGCATAAATCAGACCGTTGGCTTTTTGTTTGAATTATTTTACGTTTTGTCTTTGCGGGGCCTTTCATAGCTTTTAAATCATATTTATAATAATTAGATGTAAGAAGATAGTAAATGTTCATTTTTATTTTCATCTGTGATTTCAATTTTGCGTGAAACTGCGCATTTTATAAAAATATGTGATAAACTTTAAGTGGTACAAACAGCAGATTAAAAAACCTATAGTTTTAGTATTTGTAAGGTTATTCAGTTTATCCTTGAAAACACAGTTTGAATTTTAAAAGTAAAATGTCCATGTTTAAAACGTCTAACCGTTCACCAGCTTATTTCAGAAGATAATTTAATATTTACCATGTTTACAGGTACTCATTCAAAAACGTGAATTATATACATTTCATAACACGCGATACACTCCAGACTGTTTTTTTTTTGCTGTTGAAATTTTATACTCGGGATTACAAATAAAGCGAACAAAAAATTTAAAATTGCCAGTGATTTATGACAAAATTTCGATTGCGGTTGATAATGTTAAATTTGATAATGTTCTGAGGGCAGGTTAATAGTCAAATATCCAATTAAGTTATGTCGGGTGTACTTATAACAATTTCCCCAGTTCATGTGTGTTCATTAATACTTACCTGTATCTTAATCCGTTATTCAATACGAATTTTATGACAAGCCTGATTTCAAATTTGTCTATTCTATGACTGATTTGAGCAAATTGGTTCAGCTCAAGCAGTCAAAAAAACCCCGCTTAATGAGCAAACATTTCAATAGTATGTGAACAAAAAGGGTCTGATTAATATAAAATAGTAATAATAAGATTACAAATTTTCTTAACAAACAAGATTACAAATATACTTAATAAAATAAATTAAAAAGTATACTTTTGTATAGTTCCAAGTCAGGAACCCCTTGCCTTTGTTGTGTATTTTTTTAATATTTTTGATTCGGAGTTAAGTGTGGCGTCAATGCATTATTGTTTAGGGGTCAGATGAAGCCCGACTCCGGGTTCGAGATTTTCTCCCTGTGTTGAAGATCCATTGGTGGCCTTGTGCTGTTTTTGCTCTTTGGTTGGGTTGTCGGGTCGACACATTCCCCGTTTTCATTCTCAATTCTATTAACAAAATAAGAAAAAAAATATGATTAACAAATAAGATTAAAAATATATTCAACAAAATTAGCTTATACATATTTAAATTTTATACGGGAAACTCTATACGAAAATCTACTACAAAATTGACGATTTTTAGTTGCCGATAGATAATTTTCCTTTTTCGGACGGCGATGCTCCTTTTTATACGACCGCAAAAATTTTTGCGGTCGTATATTGGTATGACGTTGGCGTCGTCGTCGTCGTCGTTGTCGTCGTCGTCTGGCGTCGTCCGGCGTCGTCCGAAGACACATTGGTTTTCGCACTCTAACTTTAGTTTAAGTGAATGGATCTCTATGAGATTTTACCATAAGGTTCAATACCACAAAAGGAAGGTTGTGATTGATTTTGGGGTTTTGGTACCAATAGTTAAGGAATTAGGGGCCAAAAAGGGGCCAAAAATAAGCATTTTTGTAACTTCCAGACATAACTTGTGTGTTAGTGTATGGATCTCTCTGATATTGTACCACAACGTTCCATATCACACAGGGAATGGTGGGATTGATTTTGGGGGTAATTTCCTCAAAATATTAGGAATTAGGGGCCAAAAAAGGGGCAAAAAACAAGCATTTTTCTAGTTTCATGACAATAAGTTGTGTGTAAGTGTATGGATCTTTCTGAAATTGTACTACAAGGTTCCATATCACAAAGGGAAAGCTGGAATTGAGTTTGGGGGTAATTGCCCAAAACGTTTAGGAAAAAGGGGCCAGAAATAAGCATTTTTCTAGTTTCCAGACAATTACTTGTGTGTTAGTGTATGGATCTCTCTGACATTGTATCACAAGGTTCCATATCACATAGGGAATGATTGGATTGATTTTGGGGGTAATTGCCTCAAAATTTTAGGAATTAGGGGCCTAAAAGGGGCAAAAAACAAGCATTTTTCTAGTTTCAGGACAATAACTTGTGTGTAAGTGTATGGATCTTTCTGAAATTGTACTACAAGGTTCCATATCACAAAGGGAAAGCTGGGTTTGAGTTTGGGGGTAATTGTCCTAAAAGTTTAGGAATTTGGGGCCAAAAAGGGGCCAAAAAACACATTTTTCTAGTTTTCAGACAATAACTTGTGTTCAAGCGTACGGATCTCTCTGAAATTGTACTGCAAGGTACCATACCACAAAGGGAAGGCTGGGATTGAGTTTGGGGGTGATGAATCATAAGGGGGTTTAAAAAATTTGGGTGGGGATTTTATTTTTTTCCTTTTTTTTTTTTCTTTTTTTTTTTTTTTTTCTTTTTAAATTTTCCATTTTAAGTTGGTTATTTCTGATTTATATTTAAAAGCAAATAATAATGATATGGTAGGAGATACACACCAAACAGGATGTGTAAATTATTATATAATAAGTATTGTGCAATAGCAAGAAATTTTCAACTGCACAGTATTGCACAATAGCAAGAAATCTTCAATTGCACAGTATTGCGCAATAGCAAGAAATCTTCAATTGTACAGTATTGCGCAATAGCAAGAAATATCCAATAGCACAATATTGCGCAATAGCAAGAAATTGTCAATTGTACAGTATTGCGCAATAGCAAGAAATATTCAATTGCACAGTATTGTGCAAAAAAAGATACTTCGTATAAATTGCTTATTTATTGACCAATTTCAATGGGGTTTTTTGGCCCCGTTTTTAAATTGGTCCACATTGAGGTCCAAAGGGTCCAAAATTAAACTTTGTTTGATTTCATCAAAAATTGAATTATTGGGGTTCTTTGATATGCTGAATGTAACCGTGTATTTAGATTCTTAATTTTTGGTTCCGTTTTCAAATTGGTCTACATTAAGGTCCAAAGGGTCCAAAATTAAACTTAGTTTGATTTTAACAAAAATTGAATTCTTAGGGTTCTTTGATATGCTGAATCTAAACATGTATTTTGATTTTTGATTATGGGCCTAGTTTTCAAGTTGGTCCAAATCGGGGTCCAAAATTAAACTTTGTTTGATTTCAACATGTTCAACAAAAATTGAATATATGGGGTTCTTTGATATGCTGAATCTAACCATGTATTTAGATTTTTGATTTTTGGGCCCCGTTATCAACTTTGTTCACATTGAGGTCAAAAGGGTCCAAAATTAAACTTTGTTTGATTTCATCAAAAATTGAATTCTTGGGGTTCTTTGATATGCTGAATCTAACCATGTATTTAGATTTTGGATATTGGACCATAATAGGTGAATGTCCAATTTAAAATTTTTAAGTTCTTAGACCACATTCATTCTGTGTCAGAAACCTATGCTGTGTCAAATATTTAATCACAATCCAAATTCAGAGCTGTATCAAGCTTGAATGTTGTGTCCATACTTGCCCCAACTGTTCAGGGTTCGACCTCTGCGGTCGTATCAAGCTGCGCCCTGCGGAGCATTTTATTGTCCCTTCTTACGATGTGGATATTTCACAACTTGTTCGCTATGCTCGTGCTCGTAATCGCGTTTTAGATTTCAATGAATGTTGAATAACTTAAACCTCTACAAAATTCTTTCATAGATACAAAGATTTGGTAAGAAGTTTTGGCTGTACCTATAGAGTTCACGAACAAGATATCAAATCCTAATTTTTACGATGATGTTGTATATTTATTCTGTTAATTTAGGTACGATACATGTAAGCTGATATATGCTTTGAATAAACTTATTCTCAAATGTTATCATTTAGAACAGTAGTACGATCTTGATCTATTGTTTTTATTGCTACCATTAACTTTGTGTTTGAAAAATTAAAGCATTTATTACTAAATATATTTTGCTACATTTGTGTACTTTATGAAAACGCATTATCCAACATCTTGTCGATACTGTATACTTATATTTGGAATTGCATAAGGACATTCGTTTTTCAGACTATTTATGGCGTTGTGTAAGGAAATATAATCTTCTAGAATAATCGTTCTTTTCCTAGATAGTAGTCCCATCTATTCAAATTCATATAAGTTAGATACAATCGGATAATTTATTAAGATAATATAATTCTGCTTAAGGGATTTCCAAATTTTTTTATCGTAATCTTAACTTATTTATAATGCCACAAATTGTCTGCAACAATGAAAATCTACACAGGTTTAGCTTCGTCTATCATTGACGTCAGTGATCTCCTCTGCTGATTATAGTTCATTGAAAAGACAGGTATTTTAACAGGATAAATCGTTAAAATAGTTTTTTTTTATTTAACAAATAAATAATGTTAAAATAACTACCTGTGAGCAATTCTCATCTTGATGAAGCACATGACGTGTCGTCATATGAATATATATTACTTGTCTGTATCAATTAGTTTGCGAACATGTGTACTATAATACTAACTGACTAGATCATTCAACTAAAGGCAAAAGCATATGAGTTATCCAGAATTAAAAAAAAAAAATAAAAAGTATTGCTCAAATTGATGTCATTGTCTTTAGATATTCATATGCATACGATCAATTTGACGGAAAATTATTATAACTGGTGTCAAGTTATTAAAACACCAAGACACAGAAACGAAATTAGGTGCGATTAGAGAAATAGTGTTCGGGTATATCAATACTCTTTTCGTTTAGTTAAGGTTTATTAGAGGGAATTTACAAAAAAGTCCGTGTTTACAACATAAACTTTTAGAGACAAACATGTGCACCTGGAAAAGTTTAAAAGATTGGCAAGGACTAGATAAATACATTTCCATCGTTTTTTATGTTTTCGGAAAATTAAGAATTTACTAGGATCCTAAAGTGTTTTTTTTTTCAAACATGCATAACATGGTACATAACCAAATACCAGACTTGAATTGATTCTGTCCACTCATTTTTATAGTTTAAATATATATTGTTGTGCAGATATATATGTTATCCCTCTGTTGTCCTTAACAATCGATACAACTCACTAGCACTATTTCATAAGAGAATATCTGAAACATTTTAGTTAACAGAAAAAAGTAATCTTAAAATCCCGGATTGTATTTGATATTTATTAATCTTTTTTTTTAATTTAAAATTTTCCAAGGGGAAATGTTTGTTTGTACTGAACATAAAATTTTGGGGTGAAATTACGGTGATATTTTTCGATTCCTTTGGAATAATCTTAAACTAAACTTACAATAGTCTTGTTAATGGATGTAAATACCTGGGAAAAGTCATACATATTTTATAATAAGTCTAAGTACATTTTGCTTAAGCTCAAGTTCGAATGCTGGTTAGCATGGTACTCTTCCTTAATATGTGATCTGGATACAAGTAAAACAAGTTTTCTTCATATAGCTCTCTGAATACGCTACTCATTATTGATTGACAACTACTACTTTATGTTTTAAGGTGTTTTTTCAAATAACAATTGTTTATGTGACACGTATGCTAATAACAGTAAATAAACATTTTAAGAAGTCAAAATAAATTTTAAAAAGTCAACTTAATCTGACTTTTCGAATCTCACTAGATATTTATAAGACATCATGACTGATAAGTTATTTTCTGTATTTAGAAAAAGTTCAACATTCATAGAAGAAAGGTTTTGATTTGCAAAATCAGACACTTAAAGGAGGAAATTGACAGTATTGTTATATGAGTTGGATGCTGATATTTATTTTGAAATTTTATTGAAATGAATTTATTTCATATTCAGAACACAAAATATCAAATTATCATACCAATTGTTATGAAGTATTTCTGAGCATAAAAATAGTTTGGTTCGAATTGCAAAATTGCATTAAAATTGTCAACATTTAACAGTTTAAATCTAAATTCTAAAAACGTGATTCTCTTTCATTCTCTATCGTATCTTTAGTAAAACGTGGCTTAATAAACGAGGATGATGATAGATGCATCAAGGAAACAAATCTTTCGAACATTTTTAATATTTTGTCAACTGAGAATTTACAGAAAATTATCGCATCAATGATTTCACGTTAGTACATGATAACTGACTTCTCGGCTGGTTATACCCTCAATGATAAATCTTTGGAATTTAGTTAGCTGTTTAAAACATCTTCAAAAGCAATCAAATATACCACAAAACGTTTAATTGACTCAACTGACAAGCATTACTCATACATTAGATTCATCGAACATTCGTTATATAGTGTTAATGTTTTTAGCTTTCTATTAAACGGACAGGTATTCGTATATTGGTTTGAATCTCACCTGCGTAGTTACGGAGTCAAATATTTTTTATTTACTATTTTTCCAGAAGATTGAATATCTGCATACATAATTTGTTAATAGCTGTCTAATGTTCTGAGGATGTTGTCCGACATATCATAGCTGATTGAACCTCAGATTTAATGTTCAGCTACTGCTATCATTAGAACACGTTTAATGCGCAACAATTTGCCTATAACCATCGTGAGATGTATAAGTTCGTCAGGCGGGGCGCTTTTGATGCTGTACTCATTTCACGAATCAGTGATCAGTAATGATCAACGTAAGGTTTTGTGGTCGATTCCCTTTTTTAGACATGGAAAGAAATAGAAATATGTCAGTTTTGATTAGTTTTTGGAATGATCGTAAGGTTAAACTAACATTTACCTCATACTTATTGTTCATCGGTCATAAATACAGTTTCGTGGTACATGTAAGGTCGATAAATAAGAAAAAAGAACTGACCAAGCCTTAAAAAAGAAGGAAAAACTACCAAAAGGTAAATAACAGTGCATAAAACCCATCATAGAAAACTGAAGACTGAGCAACACATACCCCACCAAGAATCGGGGGTGATCTCAGGTGCTCCGAATGTTTCAATTAATATCAGCCATAATTCATTTATATATAAGATGTTACACTGTACTAGTACTAAGATTTTAATGTCGATATATAATGGTTAGTCTGAAATTGGTCCAATTTCGTGTGCATTGATCAACGATACGATTTTGTGTCAAGGTAACTCTTTAGATATCATAAGCAAACGGTCCCAGAGATATGGGTACAAAACTTTTGTAAGTGTGCACGTCAGTCCGGCAATATTTGCCTTCCTTGAATATAGTGTCATTGTTTACCATATTTTCTATACTATATTTGTAGGAATTGTTATTTTTTTATTGTTTATTTTGCTACTTTTGTTTTCGTCTTTTCTTTACAGCGTCAAATCACAAAAATCAGTCATGCTATTTGTAAGTTTAGTTATATATTTCCATCAGTTGTTAACCAAATTTATTACCAGTTTAAAAGCTAACAACTTATTTTATAATTGAAATTAACATCTCAAGTAAATTGCACTCTAGGAATATATCTTTTCAGATATAACCTTTTCTTGAAATGAAATATTACTTATTTTCTTCTTAATAACAATTAACTGTTCCTTGTAATTGTACTTTCGGCTCCCTCAGAATATTTTTGCTGTTCTGTCCACATATAATAAAATACCACTCTCAACACAGTTTCAAAATCAAACTGTGCTGTTCATTAAATCTCTGAATATCAAAAAGTTAAATAAAAAAAATACCGAACGCCGCGGACAATTTATAATGGAAAGTCCATAATCAAATAGCAAAATCAAAAGCTCAAACACATCAAACGAAGGGATAACAACTGTCATATTCCGGACTTGGTACAGGCATTTCCTTATGTAGAAAATGGTGGATTAAACCTGGTTTTATAGCTAGCTCAACCTCTCAATGGTCTCCTAACGCTTTTGTAAAAAATCTTTGGTTTCGCTATTTCATCTGCAAAATGCCTAGAGAACAGCAGGTAAAGAACAAAACTTGCAAAACATGTGAAGAATAAAGGTAGTAAAGAGGCAAATTTTACGATTTTCGTCATTCATGATGTTCATTTTAAGCTGTTTCACACATCCAGTTTGTTGAAATTTTATGGCAATCAAAACTGTTTAGTGAAAATGGAAAGAGCTTATTAAGCTATTTCAGCAAAACAAGGCAATGATTAAACAAAGTATGTTTCGAGGTAAAAAAAACAATTTTCTTTAACCAAAACAAGCTGAGGGAATGAACATATAATTCGAGGATACATGCTGCATTTGATGCAAAACATTTAGCTCTTATTTGAAAAAAATCGAGAAAAAAAGTTTATACCTTTTCTTCTCTTTTTAGATTAATTTTTCTATATAATCCGTTTTCTTTATTTAAACTACATGCATTATTTATTCAATTTAAACTAACCAGAACAATAATAATCCGAAGTGGTATGACCAATGGTAATGGAGGTATCGTAGTGAGCGGGAAAAAACGAGTGAATTTTTCTATTTATTATTTTTTTTTCTCCAATATCTTTTGTCGTCCGGAAATGTTTATAATGTACTTTTATTTGACAGGTTTTATAGATCATGCAGGAAACTTACTCAAAGCTCACGATGTCTGATTATTATTCTAGCAGTATTATGCCTTGTCCATGAAACAGAAGAGTTATCAGGTACTCATTATATTAAAATACTACTGAATATTATACATATTTTTAAAAAGATGTTACCATATAAGTCGTCATCATAGCGATTTATTAATACTTTGTGCTGTCGTTGAAATATGTTCGTTGTTATTCTGATGATTTTACGTTGTAATGTATTATTATTTAATTTATTTATGCGTTTCTCTATGCTGAGTGTTCTTGCGTTTGTTTGGACTGTATTCCAGTCACGTAGTGTTGTCATTTTAGCGATATTGTTTTTAACATTACCATATCAATGGGAGGTTTGGCTAGCCATAAAAGCAGGTTCTACCCACCATTTTTTCTTAGAATGTTCTGTTCCAAGTCACAAGTATCAAATAGTCTATTTTTATGTATGTTGGCGTTTGTTTTTGTTGCACTTCAGTGTTTCTGTTGTTCCGTTGATTTCCTCTTATAGTGATGTGCTTCCCTCGGTTTTAGTTTGTAAGCCAGATTAGTTTTCTCTCAATCGATTGATGACTTTTGAATAGCGGTATACTACAGTTGCTTTTATTTGAATGGTTGCTATATCAGAATAAGATGTTCTTTATAAAGTTTTTACCATTTAACATTTATTGTAATTTGTGGCTTATTGCACAGGATGAATTACAATAAAAGAAGTATTGGACGACTTTAGAACATATTAATCAATTGCTTTAACTGAAAAGTCAAAACAGTCGGCCTAGATCATATGTATGATTGATAGTTTTAGAAAGTAATTTTCATTTTATTGCTACATTCATGTTTATGAATGAAACTGGAAATATGTTTTTGTCGCTTTAATTTACAGGTAAAAAGGGTTGCACTTGTCATTATTTTTTGGGGTTCGCAATCATATGTATCTGCATTAATATTGTTTAACAATACATGAATAATAATTTTGACATGCATGTTAAGATTACAAGATTTTCTTTGAATTAACCTCTTGAACTGATCGTCGTTACGCTAACGCCTTACTATGATTTTGATATCTTTGCAGTAAAATGGTATCTTCAAAATCCCGTTGACGTTGGGAAAACAGCTATTCTTAACTGTACTATAGACGAAAAGTCCAACGTATGTCAAAATATCAATTTTATATGGCGATGGACAAAATATAGCAATCAAAGTATACTTATTTTCAATGGAATTTCATCCAACAAAAGTAAATATACAGAGGAACACAATGAAAATTGCACAGAGTCTTCTCTACATATACATAATTTTGACCAGAGTGATTTAGCGATGTATACCTGTAGTTGCGGATTTCACCAACATAGCAAAGAGTTTAACCTAGAAGGTTTTTGTGAAGCGGGTGAGAATCAGTTATATAGGTTTAGAAATTACATATTCACGACTTATTGATTGATTGTTGCTCGCTTAAATTTTAAATGCATATTCAGGATGAAATGTACAATTTATATAATAGGTAGATTTTGCATATGTGTTCAACTGCGATTAAGGGTTGGAAAAATTTAAGCTATAATTGAAATAAGTACATATTCAATACATAGAGAAATTTTCAAGGCATCCATGAAACTTTGAGGATTTGTTAAACAAGTCACCAAAATAATTGACCCTATTCCAAGACTTGGCTTCAAATATGTACAACCTCTAAAAAACACCATTTTTATTATTGATATCCTGTCGGTTCGCAGTCCATTTGACCATTTTCAACAATCAGGCCACTGTATTTCTGATCAATAATATAAGTGCAACATGCACAAGGATATCTTAAGAAACTATAATAATGTCTGATACATTTTGTATTTCTATGATTTGCCTTTCCACTATTCGGTTGACTACACAAATTTCAATACACAACATGATATTTATTATCGAAACATAATTCAATTAATATATCGAATAATTGGATTTACATGGATGGAATAACTGATCTTAACTTTAACAGTTTTTAAAATATTTTATAGGAAATAAAGAAAATATATCGGTACACGCTATTTTTACATGTTCGCATTTCCATTTGACACTGGAAATAGAGATGCGAAAAATCTTTCCAGCACCTATGTGTTATTCCATTATAGAGGTAAAATATACATATACATACATTAAATTGGCACTCATATCACATCTTCTTATATCTATTGTACTTAAAAATGAACAATTTTCTTCTATTGTGATATGAATGTCATTTCTACAAAACACAATCATGTCTTTAAATTACTTATTATATAATCCCCAATATGCAGGTATTGGGTATTAAGACTAAATTCTGAGTTTCAATATGAACTAATGTCATATTTTGAAGGACCCGTTTTTAATGGTATATTCTTTGAGTTTTCGGTACTCATATGTTTAATTCTTCAAATTGTTTAATTTATAAATTAACAATATTAACCTTAGATTTGCAAATTTTAAAGCTATGAGATGTGAAGATTGATAATTCAACCCAGCTTTTGTTATTATAATTTTCTGAAAAAAATTGTTATTTCGTTTAGTCTTGCTTGATCCAACACTACGATCTTTTATCATTCTAGTTTACGTTGTAAATACCGCATGTCTCAATTCAGTTAGTCAAAAATTATCAAATCAACCATGTATTAATGCAATAGCGGCAAAGAGAAATAACTCAATTCATTTTATGTCATTTTAAAACCAACTTGTTATCGCACCAATATGCATCTCTGTCCCAAACAAAAGATAAGTTCTTTTCTTTCGGATCCGATTGTTTTTTTACTATATAATATTTGAGGATGCGTCAATGAGATCAGAAAACGAATTGCACCTAAAAGCATTAAATGTTACCTTTTATTTGAATAATTCATTGCATATATTTGCCCTTATTATAAAACAAGTAATAGCTTTATAAAAGGCTAGTTGTCTCATAGCCGGTTGAGTAAACTTTGTACCTGTAATGTTATTATACGCGACTGAATTTGTAAACAGATGCAAATCGAACGAATTACGAAATGTACTTTATTTAATTATTTCAGAATGGTAGACTTAAACACAAAAGAATACGCACAAATTTATCAGAAGCTCTATACACTACAGAAGACACACTTAAATTTGTGTTTAAGGATCACAGTTGTAGTGGAACTATTCATTCCTTTTGTAGATTTAAAAACAAGGAGAAAGAAGTGTTCACTCGTACTTACGACTGTTGTCCTGGTAAGGATTATGATGTTGCATGCATTTAATTTTATTCATTAGTAATTTCAAGAAAACAAATACCATCTTTCAAGTAACAATTTCATAGGCTATTCATTACCTTATCGTTATTTGGCAAACGTTTGTGAATTTTGGGTTCTTCAATTTGTACTGTAATTGACCCTTTGAACTCGTACATGTATAATTCGTGCGTAATCTTTAAAACAAACGATCGGCTGGTTTACAAAGTTTTAATCTTAGTATCTATGGTGAGTTTATTTACAAACTAGTAGCATTTAAAACTCACTGTATGATTTTTAACATTTATTTCCTCCAAGCATTAATTTTTGTTAAACGAATATTTGGTAGTTCGGTATTTTTTGTAATACTTTATACATGGTATACGCTTATCAAAGTCAAATAATATGTTTAGCTAAATCACAAACCGAAATATATACAACATATACAAGAAGCGGTTTTGTTTGAAGACTGATAACACTAACCAATCTGACTCTATTTATATTAAAATATCACAGGGAAGTGGTACGCTTACCATTGAAAACCATTGAAACAATATAAGCAACAACACGCCACTGTACGACCTTCATCAATAAGCATTGCCATAAATATAAATGAAATGTTAGTCATTAAACATTAAGCAAACACAACACAATCATTCACCCAACAATGAGTCTGAGAAAAGCCGTATATTGCATTGTAAACTAAAAAAAATTAACAAACTTTAAGGGTAAAGGCATTATAAAGATAATTAACGGTCAGATTTATGATAATAACATTAAACGAAGCACAGTAATGTAAGATGGCAAAAAATGAAAAAAAAAAAAAATAACTTAGATTACGGTATTTTTGTTATACTGTTTTTGTACTTATTTTAATTGTTTCAGATCATCATAATTCAGTAGTGAAGACGGTTGCTATTGGTTTTGCGATAGTCATTACATTCGTTGTAATCATATGTTTTGTTTATCTATTCAGAAGAAAAATCAAAGGTAAGAAACAATTTGAAATTAAAAATATCAACGGTACCAGTTTTACATAAATCTAAGGCAAATGTGTAATTTCATACCATGGTTGAATAGTTTTAAATCAGACGGGGATCAACATAGTTTTTGCTGCTAATTAAACATGGTTGTATATAGTGATATTTTTAAATTGAATACCGTAGAGGATTTAAAACTATCAAATGAGCATATGCTACATGGCTTCATATTCAGATGTCAAGATTATCACATCATAACTCAAAACTACTCATTCAAACTTGACTAAAGATAAACGATTAACACCGAATGGCACAAATACTACAAAACATATATTCATGTAGCTGAGATTCTAGTTTTATATGTTATATTTTGTAGATTGTCGTTTGTCGTTTAGTTATTATTCGATTTTATCGGTTATCCCCTTATTTGAGATTTAAATTATGCCTTTTATCTCCTGCCTCTTTTAACCTTATTTTGCCATTAAAGCCACGAGACAATTACTCATCATGAAGCGTCCATCGTCCGTTGTCAGTCTTAAACTTATCATCTTTCCTTCTCAAAAGACACTCCAAATTCTAAATAAACGTATAACGAATAATCTTTATGTTATCTATTATAAAGGTTGGGTTTTATTTATCATTCAGCAAACATCGCTGCCATGGCTATAGTAGAATATGAGGATGAATGCAGTTAATGTTTTAAAATTTTAAACATATTAGAGAGATACAATCTGGCGTACAAAAAAGTTAAAAATACTTCTAGTTTCACCAAAATCATCAATATGTAATGACTGCATGAAGATTTCATTTCTTTACAGGACGGTGTTTGGTTTGTTTGAGTGATTTTGTATAAAATCTCAAAATCTTTTTTTATAAAAAACATTAATAGCAAACATTATCCGAAATATTAGAAATACAAAAATGCCTTACAACAAAAACAATGTAAACAGGCTTCTCATGAAATTATAGCCTCAAACAACGATTATTTAGTTGTCTATGATGAGTTGTAGAAACTGTAAATCATCATCAGAAATACAAAATCTACAATGCCAAATATTTGGAAGTCTCCTTATAGAGGATAAACCTTTAAATGACGATTTCTACCACTTTTTTTTATCTTAAAAACTGTGATAAATAACGAAGATTTTTAATAATCGTTAATAATATCAACAATTATCAGCAAGACAAGATTAACCAATATGCCAACAGAAAAACCAGTGACGCATATTATTATGGTTTTTGCCTCAAACCATTGGCAAACATGATAACTTTAATTATTAGAAATAATAATGGTATAATTATCGTCTTAGATGATAAGAGTATACTTCAAAAGTAATACACCATCATTTAAATGTTGTTTGTGTACTATTTTATTTTTTGCCGTTTTTATCGGATCAGGTCCGAGTCCGGACCGCAGTTATTATACCTTTATTAATGTTTTTGCATGAACATGATTAAATCACATCGTTTTTAAATATGAAATATTATTACGTTTTTTTAAAATACAAGCTGTTGTGAATTGATAGAATTTACAAATATGTTGTATTAATGTTTATTTAAACCAATTCATTACATTTTTATACGCCCGTCAAAATTTTGACGGGACGTATTATGGTATACAAATGTCGTCTGTCCGTCTGTCCGTCTGTCCGTCTTTCTGTCCGGCGTAAACATGTCGCACCGTAACTTGATAACGACTTATCCAAATTTCATGAAACTTAACATAATTGTTTCTTATGATGGTCAAACGATCTGTATACTTTTTGGTGAAAATAAGATTAAAACGTTTTGAGTTACGGAACTTAGTAACTAAAACAGGTGTGTGGTTTTTTTTTCACATGTCGCGCCGTATCTCAAAAACAATTTATGATTATTGCTTAAAACTTTACACACTTCTTAGTTATATTAATCATAAGATCTGTATACTTTTTGGTGTTGATTCAAAATTTTACTTTTGAGTTATTGAGTATTTTGTAAAAAAAGGGGGGGAGGGGTTTTTCACATGTCGCGCCGTATCTCAAAAACGATTTATCATTATTGCTTAAAATTTTACACACTTCTTAGTTATATTAATCTAAAGATCTGTATACTTTTTAGTTTTGATTCAAAATTTTATGTTAGAGATATTGAGTTTTTTGTAAAAAAAAAAGGGGGTTTTCACATGTCACGCCGTATCTCAAAAACGATTTATGATTATTGCTTAAAATGTTACACACTTTTTAGTTATATTAATCTAAAGATCTGTATACTTTTTGGTTTTGATTCAAAATTTTATTTTAGAGATGTTGAGTTTTTTGTTAAAAAAAGGGAGTTTTCGCATGTCGCGTCGTATGTCAGAAACTATTTATGATTATTGCATAAAAATTCACACACAAGACGATGGGCGTATCATGCGCTCATGGCGCAGCTGTTCATTCAGTATTCGAGTTAAATCCAGCAATTGGTCAGATAGTTCATAACAGAAATAAATACCATGCAATTTGACATCATATGCTGCTGGTTGTTATGTTAAGGTTCTTTCTATTGAAATGGTTTCAAACATTGTATACTTATCTTGATTTGTATGATTTACAATTTCCTTGAACGACAAGGAAAAATATGAATTTTGCATATCTACTTATTGCTGACATGAAATTTGAGTGACATCTGAAAAATGTACCTGTTTATGTTTATCTAACTAACACATCTTATTATTTTATCAAACTTGCAGATTGTACACGAGATTGCTTTCATAAACAAGAAGGATTTAACTATTCGCCTGTGGTACCTTTGCAAGTACAGGATTAGTGGATTGAAGACTTGTTCGACAGTTTTCATTATTAATACTATATATTCATTATGATGAACGTTTCATATGTAAAGTAACGTTGACAACACGCACACATGTCGATTTATACTGTTTGTCTCTTGTTTTAACATGTTCATTGCTGTTTTTTACCTGTACACGATGTCTCCACACAGGAATGATGACAGAAAACTGCATAAACTGTGCCGTTTGTTTTGTTTACAATAGGCTGGGAGAAGCGGAATAATATGGCGTAAATGTTATTTTATATCGTCAAACGTATCATGTGAACTCGTTTTTTTTACTTCTTGATAATATGCATTATCTAACATTTTGTGCAAGTTTCAAAGAATTCTCAAAGACATTATTTTCTATTGCAAAATTTGGATCTTAATCTCCTTACTCCTTTAATAAATTTTCAATTTGATTTGATTGACAAATATTTAAATGTTAGTTTCATCTTTACAATTAGTTATGATGGGTTAAGTCCTCTTCATATGTTATTATTTATAAAGAACAATCTTTCTGATATACACAATATATGTCATCAACAATAAACACAGTTAGACTGTTAGGAAAAATTCTGGTAAATTATTCGGTATAACAAATCATGGTAGACTAAGTCAAGTAAGAAGATACTTTCCTTAAGTTAAAATTATTTACCAAAAAACGGGGTACAACGTGTCAAAGTTTTTTCGAGTCACAGATTCGGCAACCGACGTCCACTACAGTTAAATCCCTTTACAGAGAATGATGCAGAAGCTACTGGTTATTGCCACACATTGTGTAGTAAAATAGAAGAAATGAAATTTATATGGCTTGAAAATTAGAGAAAAAATACTTCGAGGAACAATCTTTTTTAAAATATTTTTAAAGATAATAATATTAGCACCGTGTCAATTTTTTAATACAATAATATTATATTACAACGTGACTACAAGTTGAATAGTAGGCACTTAACTTAGTTCATTGTTTTGTGACAATAACAATTTTATTCATTTGTGGATAATTACCGGTTTTTATTCGGATATGTTATTTGTATTCAACATGAAATTTCCAGCTTATTTAATTGTAACTCTGGGGAGATTGTGTTATCAATAATTGCTTCCCGGTACATTTTTATATTCAAGTTTTATTTCATTAATACTAAGCAGCCACTGTAAAGCGAAAGCGAACTAATATGTTCAGAAATGGAAAGCAGTGCATGTTCCACAAGTGTTGTTGAAGCAAGTACACATCAGATAATAATTCGCTTTCGGTTATTTTACAATCGACCTAATTGAAATTGTTTGTGTTAACGACAATAGTAACGTACCCGTGGTCATATGTTGCACATCTATTTCTTAATGATCAACCAAAGTAATGACAGCGTCCGTAAAAACTTCCAAAATGAGGAGCTCAACTTAACCACTGGAAATCTTTGATGCACTAGCTTTTCCTATTTCAAGAACATCATAATATCAAACACAGGCCCTTGATTATCATTAAATCAGCTGGAAATAGTTAAACTTGATATGCAGAAATTTTGAACTCCTAATTAGATAGAAAACTCATCAATTATTTTAAGTACGATTAATATCTGATGATTGATCCGGAATTTAATGACTACAAGGAATATATTCAAATAACAAATGATTTTCAAATATTGGTTTATCCTCCTCACCCAATTTATTAGGTAAAACAGTAGAAGATCATTGTAAATATCATCTTTTTGTGCAAAATAAATGTTTGTATTTCTTTGACATTCTTCCAATTCATGTTAACCGTCATCATAGGGAAATTATTTAATTACTACATAATATAATTGTTAATTGTTCTATTTGAGTGGATTAATCTAATAACCATTAATTGTTCCTGTAATGCAAGGTTCGGAGAGCACTACCGGAAATTTCACGACACACGTCATTTGCAAGCAGGTTTATTGCATGCGTTAGAGGTGAGTAATGACTAAATTTAATAAACTCATTTAAAAGATGTAAATGTAGTTTAACTAACTCATGGACTACTAAGGTAATCAAATACAGGGAATATTAAGGAACAATACGTTTATATGGGTAAAAAAATTAATATCAATTAGATGATACATATTTTTTCTAATAAACTTTTGTTTAAAAGATTGTCATAACAATATAGGGCCCGTAGCACGAAGCTATAATATATCTTAGGACATGTCATAAGATACTCTTATGAATTATTTAGGACATATTTCAGACATCACCTCGAAACTGTATAGTTTGATCTCACCAAAGGTATCCTAAACCTGTCGCAAGTTCTTTATTTAAAAGAAAACTTAACATGGATTTATGGAAAAATTCATGTAAATGTAGTTCGTGTTTCCAATATAATTACTAAACGTATTGCTTAATTCTACAGAATTAGGTTGCTCGCAAAATAAATATCAAATATAATTGTAATCTATATAAATGATCTATTAATGATGCAGCAATTTAATACGTATTTTTTAAATACAAAATTGTAGAAAAACAAGACACATGTTGACAATTGTTTTTGTATAAGTGAAATTAATTCAATTTGTCACTGTATCGCTTATTATAAGGTTAAAGAATAAAATCGTGCATTTTTGCTATTCATACATTGGATGTTAATTTCGCAAATTCCGCATATATTAACAAAAACGGCTCATTTAACAAATACCCCAAAACAACAAAAAAAAATCTAGAAAAATGTTTTTATGTTAATTTGTGACGATATAGAAAATAAGTGACCCGTGATAAGAGAGAGCAACATCTCTTGCACTTTAAAGACACCCTTGTAGATTTCGAAAAAGAGCAGGCTAATGCCGCTACAAGGCAGTACTCGCACCCGCAAAGTGGAAAAGGATTAATATAAGTTGCTCTTTTTCCGACATCTACAAGGATGTCTTTTACGTGCAAGAGATTTTGCTCTCTCTTAACACGGGTCAGCCATTTATCGCCCCTTCCGACGGACTATCATCGTTTCTCAAGACCATACTCGCAAATGGTGTCAAGGGAGAGCCGAAAATTAAGTCCCTGATATTTTCTCTCCGGAGCGGGGATCGCACCAGGAACCTTTGTGTTTGTAGTCCGAGGCGGTTACCACTACACCACGGCTATCAAACCTGAAGCGGAAATAAGGGAAAACTAAATCGATACAAAACATCAAATGTAATATTTTTATGGAAAACTGGCCCTACCTCTTTTGGGTTTGTATTACTATATAGGCATACTTTTCCCTCAAAATACGTGTTAAATTTTCGGATAAAAATCTGAATTGTTTCCTTATTGCAGAACTATGCTAGTACATGCGTGATCATCGTTAGTAATGACGGCATACCATAATTATCACGTCCTCTCATAATTGAAAAAATTAATGGAATAAAATGTTGTGAGGAAATTACTTATTTTGAAGTGTTATTGTTGTTATACAATGGATTACAAAATTAAAACTGGATTTTTGCGCTATCTGAACTTTCTATATAATGATCATTGCGCTGAAATACTATTATTTTTATTTGCTGTCAAATTTACAGGCTGTTCGAAAATCGGATTCAAGCCAAAATAAATCAGGAATGTATGATAATAAAAAGATATTGCCATGCATATTGCCAAAGGGGTCAGTCGTCTTAAGAGAAGGGCAAATGAAACCAAAGGGACATTCAAAATCTTAAGTCGGACAGAAACTGACAAAGCTATTGAAAAAAATAACAACAACGAAAAACAAACAGTACAAAAAACAAGATAGACAACTAAAGACTTAGCGACACGAACCCACAAAAAAACCCGGGATGATCTCAAGTAATCCGGAAAGTTAAACAGATCCTGCTTTTAATAAATAAATAAATAAATAAGTAGATAAATAAATAAATAATCTTTATTTCAAGAGGATAATCCCATTAGTAAAAAAAAATCTCCCTGAGAATCCTCCAAATAATAAAAACATATTTATAAAGTACTATATTATAATGATATTTCTCTAATTCTTCGTCAATTTATCCCTTTCTGCACCCATTGTATAAACAAAATTTAATCAACGTGTGGTTCGTTTGATCTCAGTTCTTCATTGGTTGAAATCTGATTATGACGTCGAATTTTCTTGCTTTCCTCTGAATTTTCTTTTTGTGACGGCATGAAAAAAGGCGACCATGCCTGATGACGTCACATAGAAAGAACACATCTTTTTGCAGATCATTCAAAAAGAAGGAATAAGTTTGCCTGCATATTGTTTGAAAATCATTAGAGAAACAGATTCCACCACCAAATCTCGTGTAATACGATATTTATCCACTCTCGACAGTTAAATTTCAAATATTTAAAACGCTCGGCGAGCCTCGCGTTTTAAATTTGAAAATTTAACTGTCTCGAGTGGATAAATATCGTATCACACTCGATGCAGTGGTAGAATCTATATATATACAACAATATACAATTATATATAGGTATTATTGAAAAAACATATCAATGTACAATTTATGAAAAATGTGTAGCATTTTGTTTTAAAAGATACAAGTGTATTACTCATCTTTATTTCTTATGGTAAACTGTTCCATATTTGAGATCCAGAATATGTAAATGTTTTTTTTCAAAACATTAGTTTTTGACGTCGGAAGATTTAATAGTTTTTCATCAGCTGAACGTAAATTTTGGTTATCCGTAAAATGAAAGTTTTCTTGAATAGTTAGGAACCATATTCTTTAATGATTTAAATACAAGTATTGCCTTTTGATTTCGTTTGTCCACATTCAACCAGTTTAAACTTTCAAACAATAAACTTGAAGATGTCATTATGTCTACTATAACCCTAGCAGATTTCTTTAATAACTTATTAAGTTTATTTATTCCACTTTCCTAACAACTACCCCATATATTACAACTATAATCAAACAATGGCAGAATATAGTATCAAAATAAATAATACGTATATGCATAGGTAAATACTTTCTTATCTTTTGTAATAAGTTGATTCTATTTGATATTTTCCATGTCATTTTATCTATTTGCTCATTTCAATTTATTTCTTTTTCAAAATATAAACCAAGATGATTTTATAATCTACATTCTCTATTTGTTCATCTGAGATATTTATATTTAAACTGTTTCCAGTTGAAAAAAGCCTCTGCTTTAAACCAATAACCATTGATTTACATTTTTTTTGCATTTAGTTTCATACAATTTTGCTACCACCAATTTCCAATAATATAAATATCATTTTGAAGGTTAGCTTTTAACTCATGTGCATTATTACCAGTGTACGACATTTTATTGGCTACGTTGTTTAAACCTCACAGAAGCTTAAAGACGGGAAGCATCAGACAAGGTAATGTACATTTGTATACTTTCTGATGAGTTTTTAGACTTTCATCCCGTGTACATATACCCAACTTGTTAAAATCAAATGAACAATCTACATGTGTTAAAGGGCGTAGAAGTTTACCTATGCGAAAAACATAAATTGGAGCATCTATTATACTAAATATCATTCAAGCGAGTTCTTTTTTAATTAAGGAAAATTACACACATGGCGTCCCTCCGAAAGTGAGGTTTAGGAATAATATAAAATACTGGTCCCGACGCCAAGAGTTAATTTCTTTAAACAGTATCGGATGCCCTTAAAAACTTCGTGGTAAAAGGTTATGCAAGTGATTGGTGTGTACATGCCAAGTGTCGGTAATACAACGGCTTTGGCAGAAAGACAAAAACAAACCAAGTAAATCTTTAAAGCAAACTATTAATTTGAACAATAAACTCACCATAACCAGGATTGCAATTTTGTATTTACGCCAGACGCGTGTTTTTGTCTAAAAAAGACTCTCCAGTGACGTTCGAATCAAAAAAGGTTAAAAAGGCAAAACAATGTATCATGTTGATAGTATTGAGGACCACAAATTCCTAAAAGTTTTGCCAAGTACAGCTATGGTAATCTGTTCCTGAAGTAGAAAAGCCTTAGTATTTCAAAAATTCAAAAAAGTTTTGTAAACAGTTATTTTATAATTATGACCATATCAATGATAATTTATTTCAACACAAGCGTGCTGACTACTGATAAACAAATGAAACATAAAATGAAACATATAAATATCAAGACTTTGAAAATGGAATGTATACATTACATAGCGAGCGATGAAAAATTGGAAAGCCAGGCTATTACCGTCAGTAAAGATTTGAAAAATTTTGCTAGTACGCCGCAGTTAACGAATTACCTATATATTAACAAAACCCTGTATATCTGTATATGATTGATAGAAAAAGAAAACGTGTCGTTAAAAACTATGAAAACCGGGTATCAAACTATCCTGGTTATGCAATCTTGACGGCAAAAATGTAATTGGCTACATATTTATCAAACTGCTGTATATCATTATTTTCTACCAATTCTGAACAATTTTCCGATTCAGATTTACATGTTGTTTTTGAACACATTGTTTTACATTTCAGACCAAAGATGTGTGTTCTGATGTTTATGTTACTGGTCCTGTCAGGTATAAGGAAAAACTGGCGTTAATCTATTTATGAATCATCTATTTAAAAAAAGGGGTGTTATCATTGCCAGTGAAACAACTATCAACAAGAGACAAAGCGACGTATATGTAGGCAAACAAAGGTCACCGTCCGGTCTCTATAAGAAGAAAAACCTTTACTGTAGAATTTACTATAAAATGCTCTTATATGACTTTATTCAAATGGTTAATATTAAAACAATATATCAGACATGTAGCAACAGGAAACTTAAAGTCAATAAAAAGTTTGTCCAATTCTTGAACCATTGCATGCATATATCATAAACTTAGTCTTCTGTGCACGATTTTATTATTTTTTACGCATCCATTTCGTATAATCGTCAAATAAAATTCCACACGGTCAGTGTTGTTGTGAAAATATGGCAGCTAACTAACGGTCATGTTTTGTAGCCGAATTTTACCGATTGTCACCTTAGTAAACATCAACACAAAGAAGCATGGATATTCCGGGAAGCACGTGTATAACATGTACTTTTGAGATAAAGATTATTTCGATGACGGAGCGAAGTATACGTTTGTTGACTCTCTCTGCCAGTTTGGTTTTCCCCTTTGCACTTGCGTAATTGAGATCATCGGATTTTTACGAGAAAGGTTACGCAGAGGTAATTGCATACGGAAAACATGTGGGCGAATTGTTGGCTGGAAGCAAACAATTCAGAAAAAGTAAATGTCTTCTAAATTTGGACCAATCAAAGAGTTTTCTTTAGAAAAAAGTCTATGTACATAAGTTTTATAATGAAAAGTAGCCATTTAGTTAAACATATGCATCATTTTTTTTTAATTTGAAGTTTCATATGACTTTAATAACAAGTTTCGAACAAGCACATACATTATGTGGCGGGGCAAAACATTGTTGTCAATGCCCTCTCTTTACCTAGGAAATTGACATAGTTAATTGAAAAGGGCTTGACTAATAGCGCTTGGCACATTGTTCCGATCTATGTTGCTTTTAGTTAGTTCAAAGAAAATTACTATTTCTAAATAAATGATGTATTTTCCTAAAAACAAATAAATATTAAAGATCCAATAAGGTTGTAATTTCGGCTGTTTTAAATCAATTTTTGGTTTATAGCATGCTAATGTAATATGTAGATTAGCCCTACATTGTACATGACCGACATGCCGAGTCCGAATTTTTATGCGCTAGTTCACAAATAACAGTTCACATGTACAGGATCACATGTCATCTTAACCGGGCACATTATTCTGACTCTAATCAAACCTGTCTTTGCTCTTTCTCTCTAATATCGCGCAGAAACTGCAAATACAAATTTTAAAGTCTTTGGTTTGCCTCGGCCGAGTTTCAGATTTAACGATATCGTGTACTCCATGTGAACACACCACCACGAAACGACCGAGCGGTGTAGTGATTTTGACTCATTGGTAGCAATACAAGGTAAATCAATTTCTTGCAACTTATTTTTGAAATTAGAAATGTTTCTCATCTATCAAATTTAAAAAAATCCAAAAGGTATAAAAGAATCGAGTATATAACTAACATGACAACAAGTAAGGGAACACTCGGAAGAAGCAAAGATGCAAACTCGCGGATCGTAATCTATAACATTTATACAATGCAAGGTTTTAACAAAACTGAAACATTCTATAGCGTTTAGTTGCAATTGAATTGTTTGAAAATGTATGTAAACTAATAACATGTATTAATCGTTTCAGATTTTAGCGCTGCATATAGTTCTAGCCATTTATTGGTTAAACAAAATAGTAGCATTGTAATAACATGTCCATTCAAAGTTAAATCTCTGCCTATCGTTTGGCTTGGTCCAGGGGAAGATAAGTTAACTACTTACAGTGTGGGCACGCTCATAAGTCGCAACATATCAGCATATAGTCGTATACGTTTGATCGGAAATCATTCAAACGGTGAATACAATCTGAACATATTAAACGTTTCTATGGATGATGTTGGGACTTACCAATGTCAAAGTGTTCAAAATGGAACTGCTGTGCAAAGAACATTCATATTGAATATATTAGGTAAGTAAAAAATATAAAAAAAATACCGAACTTAAAGGCAAATTCAAATAGGGAAAGAACATGCTGTGGGTGAGACCTAAAGATTTGTTTGAAAACCTCACTTTTGTATGATAACGATATAAATAAATTAATCAATAGTAAAAAGTATTATATTATTCCTGTGAGCATAAATCGTGTGTCTCGTTTAAGTTGTGTGTCTAGTCAAAGTTGTGTGTCTCGGTTCGCCTTTCCATTTGCTTTCCTCGGGTATCAATAAAGAGAACAATGTGTCGATATGCGCATTTGTTTCGGTAAAATTGTTCATGTTGATGTTATATGTAATCTATCAGGTGTTGATGATAACACGTTTTCATGAAGGAACAGTAAAGATTAACGGCGCCTTTCAAACCTTACGATATATATTAATTGTATTGTATCTTTCAGTTTTTGGTAGGGTTCGTGCTGCTCAGTCTTTAGTTTTCTATGTTGTGTTTTGTGTACAATTGTTTTTCTGTTGGTCTTTTTCATTTTTTAACCGTGACGTTGTCAGTTTATTTTCAACTTATGAGTCTGAATGACCATCTGGTATCTTTCTCCTGTCTTTTTCAGAAAAACCAAAGACTCTTTCCAATATTAGATTCTTCAAATTCGAAACTAAAATAGGCATACCCACCAACATTGCTGTTAAGGTTAAAAGTTTGCAAGTGCCAACCATTTCGTGGACTCAAAACATAGGCGGCGGACGACTTGGTGTTTGGACAGCAACAGCAAATGGGTCCAACATCTTTTTATTGAGGTCAACGGTAGTGGAGCACTTTGGACAGCATAGAATCAAAGTTCGAAATGATGCCGGAAGTATTGACCTAACAATTAAACTTCTTTTGATAGGTAAGATTATTTTTACTGCATAATTTTTAATTTGATTAGTGTTTTATGTTAAAAACGTTATTGAAATTTAATTGCAGTTTTAATTTGCACAAAAATGCCTTACTGCATACAATTTAGTCTCCCGTGTAGTTGATACCCACAATTAACTTTAGTTTTAGTGTCGTGTAATATTTACCGATTCATAAACACATAGTTTTGTCTTCTTTAAATTATGTTAATGCAATACTTAAAGACATTAGAGAAATAATGGGGGACGATTACATGACAGCAAAGGTAAAAGTACGATTAATCCACGTCTTTGTCCCTTAAATTCGAAAATCATCAACAACGACACATCTCCAAAAATAAGTTACTCGAACTAAATCTCCAATCCATTAATATAAATGCGTCTTTTTTGTGTGCTGTATGGCTAGTTAAACTTCCTGCAATAAATTGAAACTGAAAAAAAATGCCAAAAGTTACCGCATTTGACAATATACTCAAATTTAATAAGCCTAGACCTTTAAGGTAGCACAATACAAAGATTTTATACCTCCAACTCCCCAGTTTTAAAATGCTGTAACTTTCTTTATAATGCTTGAAAATTTATAAAAGTGGTATTTATGGATAGCTAACAGATTACTCTTTCAAATTAATGCAATGTTAGTATTATACAACAATTATGTAATTAATTATAATTTTAACTGTGTCTACAAAATTTTACAAGAATTTTCCACTTTCAATTGAAATTGGCTTCTTCATGGATACCCCGAGAGGGTTGATTTTATAATATGTTGTTCCTAGAGCCATTATCTACAAAAGGGTGTCTCAGATTTTGGATAGAATGTATAGATCAAATTTTACACCTAATCAAATAATCTCTACTTTTATGTGGTAAGGATGTTTACACTAATTACAGATTTATGAGAGAATGGAATAGGAGAGAGATAATTTGAGACACCCTTTTGTAGCTCCCGCTGTGTTGATTAAGATAACGTTAAAATTTCTTGTGTAGTTATAGAGATGTCAGAGCTAAATTCATTCAAGTGAACTGACCAAGATTTTGCCAATAATTGCATAATAATTGATTACATAATGATTGCATAACAAAAATATTGCATTCATTTAAAAGATTAATCTTTTATCTATCTATATATACCTCTTTTATTAATTTGTATGCAGTCTTAAGAAAGTAACATCATTTTAAAGGTTGGAGATTGGAAGTAAAAAAATCTTTGTATTGTGCTACCTTAAATAAAGTAGTCTTTGAAAGTCAAATATACCAATTTTGACACGTTTATTGCACAATAGTAACAACATAGTTTATATTTTTGCATTTAAGGACCAAAATAAAGTTATACAGTTAATTTTGAAGAAAAAAAATTTACACAACTTTGAGCCGATAGAAATTGCGCTACATTTGATAACATTAGTGAAGAAAAAGCAGCTATTATGATACTCTTTGTTTTCCAAGAGGAAAGGTGTCGATAATGCTTTGCCTAAACACAGTTATTTCAGCTTATTTCTATTTGTATTTCCTTAAGATTTAAACCACTAAAATATTAAGAAATTTGTATAACAAACTGACAGGTAATCTGTTTTATTTGAAAGAGTATCCAGTTACGGTTCAGCCTTCTAACGCTTACTGTAGTGCATCAACTAGAGTTAACTTAGTGTGTCAATTCGCAACTGAAGACGCAAAAGGCTGGCAAACATACTGGACTCACAATCGAAATGGCAATTTCATTAAAACTTTGCCCGGATTCATTAATGGAAACAAATCAACACTGCAAATATCATTTTGTGATTACAGAGAAGAAGGAGACTACATATGCAAGTGGAAGACACAGTTCAAAGAGTATTCCGCATCATCTTTTGTAAGAGCTAACGGTATGTGATGTGAGGAAAATGTAGTTATAAAATGGTTCGTTTATCGTTGAATATAGTACTTCACGTTTACAACTTGGATGTTTCTAAGTGTTCACTCTCACTTAATACTAAGTACAACTAAAAAAACTAAATATAAAAAAAAACGAACATTATGTTTCATATCGTTTATAAGTGGTTTGAAGGTCGTGTCAATTCGGAAGCAATTTTGTATGAATAGTCATTTCGCTAATAATATCATATGAATTGCTTTCTTTACTTATATTGAGATTTTTAAGAACGTGGACATTTCCTATGTGTTCCCCACTAGATCCATTATCAACAAAAATTGTCCTATAGAAACAATCTGAGCACTTTTTGAGATCCACTTAGACCCTATTTTGTTGTTTTGTTTTCAATTTAGGTCCATTTTTAAAACGATTTTCATTCTCAACAATTACAGCATCACAGTTTCTTAAAAAAAAATCAAAAAAGTAATAATTATGTTTTTTCCATATAACTTACCTTAAAAACAGATCTCTTTCTATCTCAAAAGGTTGATAAAGTAAACATAACAGTTGCTGAATCTTCATTAAAAATGTTGCAGATTAACATGATTTTACCCTGATCATGTTTAAAGTCTGTTTTTAAAAAGTAAAAAAAAATTTACATAAAGTAGGCCGTTAGTTTTCTCGTATGATTGGTTTTACATTTGTCATTTCGGGGCCTTTTATATGTGACTATGCGGTATGGACTTTGCTCATTGTTGAAGGCCGTACGGTGACCTATAGTTGTTAATTTCTGTGTCATGTGGTCTCTTGTGGAGAGTATACATTGGCAATCATACCACATCTTCTTTTTTATGATGATGGAAGTGTTTAACGATCTTGACTGGATTTACATCCCTCGCACGCTCGGTCTTTTTTTATATCTGTTGGTCGTTATTTTATTTTCGAACGACCGCATGCTATAGGAGAGGATTCGTCATTTATGTTTATCTCTTGCTCCAAATACTCATTTTTCCGAGGCTTAGCTACGTGAAGTTCACTTCTCGTCTTTGTACGGATTTTTATTCTCAACTATCCTGCAATTTATGTTTGCCAAATATTTATTTTCATCCTATGCAAGGTCATTTATTTACAGTTGTTTGCAACATGCACTTCAGACCTGTATACAGTTTTAAACCGTATCATGTATTGGTTCATATTAACGATTAGTATGTATATGAATGAAGCCAATTATTTGATTATGATTGACTGCGTTCTGACAATGCAATCAATTTTTAATCAAAAATCGATGATAAATATCGATATTTTTGTGCCCTTAATTTTCTAATTCGACAACCTCCGACGAGAACAACAAATATTAACTTTATTTGTATATAGCATGTAATCATTTATAAACTTCCACTTAAAAGTAATTCTTAGATTTATAAGTTTCTAATATAACGTTGGTCAAATAGTTTTTCTTCGCTGTTCTTATTTCCCGTCGTACTATGTTCCTATTTTTATTGACCATAATAATTAAGAATAATTAGTTTAGGTCCACCAAGAATAACAGACACAGGGCATTGGTGGGAAAAACAGAATATTTGGATGACAGTAGACTTCTATTCGGTGCAAGAATACATCGTTCATTGGTTCAAAACCGACAACGCACTAGCAGTTTCCAGACGAATCAGAATTTCAATATCTTCATCAATCGTAAAATTAAATTATACGAACAAAATGATCAAAGAAGATGGTTTCAAATCAAAGCTATGTATTTCTAACTTTAGTAGCAACGATATTACTTCATATAGCTGTCAAGTAGTAAACATATATGGAAGCGTAGAATATACATTTGAAGATTATTTGTTAAACAATACATTTAATCAATATGCTTACGGAGGACAATCAACGGAGATGTACACCACCCAACAAGACATCATTGACATGAAGGCAGCATTTACAAATGTTGGTATGTCATTATTCATTACAAATAAATTGAAACAATATTAACTTTCGAGGAATTTTAACGGCAAATAGTTGGTCTGTATTTGTTTTTAAAACAATAATAACTTTCGTGTGTTTTTAACGGCAAAGAGTTGGTCTGTATTTGTTTTAAAAACAATAATAACTTTCGTGTGTTTTTAAGGGCAAAGATTATAAACAAAAGATACAGGCAAAAAAAAAATCGACACAAAACTACATGACATTAACTGATTATTAATTAAATTTTATAGACAAATGTTTGACCTGTCTACGTTTTGATACTTCCATCAATAGCAATATCATCTGGTTGATGAAAATTAAGATACATTACAATCGTTCTAAAATTACTCGTTTGCAATATTTTACATATATTTACCTATGCATACATTTTTTTGAAATATTTACCAATTACAAGACACCGATTGTTGTCAATTCTTACATATAAATTAATATTGCTAATAAATGACAAACACTTTACTTCAATAGGTATTCCACTGAAATTTGTTCTAATTGGTATATGTTTAGTTATTGTTGTAATCACGGTTGCGATAGCATCTTTCTGGTATAACAATCAAAGAAACATTTTAAAAGGTAAGCAAGATTTAGTTTTAAATATCAAATATATATATAAAGTCGCATTTTTGTAATAGTGTAAAAAATAATCATTGTAAAGGAGTCGGTTAAACTAACTTTAAAGTTATAAATTGAATATAAAAAATATAAAAAAGCATCAATTCATAAATACATAGAACCCAACTATTGAATTTGAATGACATTATATATAGTTAAAGTACAAAAAATTCATAACATCTAATTTATATAGCAGAATAAAAGATAGCAAAAAAAAAACAAAAAAACAAATAACTCCCTCCTTTTTACCCCAATCCAGCACGTATTAAATATAGCTAGCCGTACAGTCGGCGATTTTAAGGGGGAAAAATACATATCAGACGCACATCTTTATTGGTTGTTTTAATTGGTCTCACCATTTATCACTATCTTTTAATTTTTTTGATGAAAAGTTTTATATCATGTACATTGATTAAAACATTATGGTTTTTGTAGAATATGAGGGACAAGAAAACCCTGGGTAAGAAATCTTGTCTAAGAAAGGGCATGCAATTTCAAACGCCAAATAATTATTGTTTGTAACTAATTAGAGTTTTAGTGCTCGTACAGTCACACATTTATTAGTGTATGACTAGTGATGCTGATACTATTTAATTTCTAATGAAAAAGTAAAGGCTCTTTTTTTAATGTAACAAAACAGGTATTAACAAAAAGTACTTGATACAGGATGAAGCATGTGATATAAAAAATAACGATTTATTCTTATAATCCTGGCTGTCCTCTAACTAACTTTTATATGATTCGCTGAGGCGATTTATCTTCAAACTTTTCTCTCATTGAGTTGTTTGAAATAGAATTATCAGAAAACCGTTCTTGGACTTTAACACTTCGTCATCTTTAAGATTTGCTTTCAAATAAACTTTGTCGCATTGTTTTGCACCATTTTAGGCTGAAGGTACTTTTTAGCAGGGTCTGCTTTGTTTCGCAATTATTGAACACATTCTTATTAACATTAACTTTCTGGTACACAGGTAAAATAGCTACGGACGTAATGTAAGTAAAATATCTGTATCACAGAACATTTACGGACGTATGGTACCATGTAATCGCATTAACTGGAAAAGTTACGCTTGCTGTATTATACGTCGTTTATTTATATGTTCGTCGTCTATGAAAATGCTGATATTCAGAATGTCAGCAAGACACATCCGTAAGGTAATTCAATCAGCCACATTTTGATAATGTACATCGTTTTCATTATGAATATTAAAAAGAATAAACATTCTATAACCTAAAGACCTAAATTTATTCAACAAAATCCGACCATAAAAATTTAAAGTTTAAAAAAAAAAATATTGACCCCCAAGGGTGACTTAGGAATAGAAATATTGTCACTTTACTCTTCTACAGACTTGAAGTAAAATTCTCGCCGAAGTGCGGCGTCCGTTTCGCTGTGCTGAATGTGTAAAGAACGTAGCCACATGCGGTCAGAATGGGGACATTAAATCAAATTGCTCGTGTAGATAGGGCACCACCTTTCTGCACGTTCAGAACTCTTGCAAAAACTCTTCGAAGGGACCGTAGGTGAACTGTTGCAAGGCTAAATTTATGTCTCTATCCAATATACTATCTGTTTTCCAAGTGGCAGTAACAACTTTCCCGACACTATCCCGGACAGCCTCAAAAACAAGACCTACCTATTGAAATATTTGCCACTGGACGTTAAGCAATCAACAATCAATCAAAATTAGTGTATTACGTACAGTATGCAAATGAATCATTTGAACCTATTCGAAAATGCATATAACTACAATTGCGCAGTTCTCATCAATTTTTCAATTGTTAGTTACTACGCCAAATTAATACCAACAATCAGTTATTCATTCATATTTTGTTCGATAAAAGTTTTTATTGGGAATTTGTATCATCCTTAAGCCTTCGTTTTCTATAACAAATCTTATGATCTTCGCAACTTGTATCACTTTGTTTCAAGTATGTTAAGACTTATCAATGTTCTTAAAGTATCATCTAACCATATTGTTTCGTTAATAGATAAATCAGAAAATACATTGTTTTTATTTGGCGTATGTATTCAATACATAAACATTAAAATAGAGATTTTTATTTCGTAAATTTGTGAAAAAAAATATTTAAATTCTAATAGTTACAATTATCTTCATATTAAGATAATATAGTATTTTCTGTCTTAGTGTTTTTCAATAGCGGGACTATCTGTTTCAAATTGAATTTTTGAAACGAAGATTCATTAGTATATCAAAGTTGGTGTCATGAATACATCAGGGAAGAACGAGTCGATGTATCTATTATGAGTTTGACTGTCCCTTTGGTATCTTTCGCCCCTCCTTTTTTAATATCTTACATTTCAAATTATAATGAAAACTTTGTACTCATAACTTATACTACATTTGAACATGGATAATCCCAAGGGTTTCATATAAAGCTGCATATCCTTATACATAACTCTTGTCCTAGTTTGTCTGCCTTGTTCAATCCACCATTTTCTACATAAGAAAATGATTGTACCAAGTCAAGAATATGAGAGTTGTTGTTCATTCGTTTGATGCGTTTGTGCTTTTGATTTTGCCATTTGATTGTGGACTTTCCGTTTTGAATTTTCCTCGGAATTCAGTATTTTTATGATTTGACTTTTTATGTCTCGTCGGGTCAAGTAATTTGCATCACTACTTCTTGATTAAAATCATTATTGATCGTTTGGTAAGACTTTTTTACTCTTTAGATTTACACGTTATATTACAAAACACAATTACATATATTCAAACCACGCTTTCAATATAGTGAAATATATCTTATCTTCTTTTGAAGACTCAACGAGCAAGACCCGAATGAGCATGAGTATGAGGACATAGAAAGTATCCAAATGAATGAAGTCTATTACTCAAACACTCAAAACAATACGAGAGATGCAAGTGATACCGAAATTGAACAGGATATCGAGAATCGAAGTGGAACGACAAGTGAAGCAAACAGCTATCTAGACATGGACGAGTCAAAATTTGCAATGTACACATACATTTAAATAGTTTTATATATGTTGATTCGTATAGCTCATTCTTAAATGCATTAGCAGTATTTTTCCTTTTTTCAAATAAACGAAGTTAAAACATTGAATTGAAATGAAATTGAAATGAACTATAAAGAAACTGCACGTACTCTTTTATTGAAAACAATTCTTTTTTTAAAGTATTTTATAATTTCATAATCATACCACTGGACATTCTATACTTTATTGTTTTTTTAATTTTACTTTTTGTGTAAATAGTAATTTCGTTTGTTTAAATGCTGATATGAAAAGATGCAGCTTTAGATTCACATAAGATTGTTTTAATAGATTTTGAAGACCTGTATATACACAGTTTTGATATACACGACATAGAAATCAAAATACAAAATATGTAGATTTTGGTATGTTTTGTCAATGGTATGCAGACATGATTTAATACATGCTAATATTATAAATATATTGTATTCTTTTATTATATATAATTCATCTTGAATATAAAAAGTGTTCGTTTGTTGATTTATCGTCCTTTATGTCAAAAGTGTTTTAAATTGTTTTTATTCATTATTTTGTACATAAATTAGGCCTTTTGTTTTCTCGTTAGTATAGTTTTACATTTGTCATTTCGGGGCCTTCTATAGCTGACTATGCAGTATGGGCTTTGATCATTGTTGACGGCCGTACGGTTGCTGAAATCCACGTTATTTGAACGTAGGAGTAATTTGCTCTCTTCTGGAGAGTTTTTTCATTAGCAATAATACCACATCTTCGTATCTTTATTTTTGATTTACTCAGTTGATGTCGGATTTGAAGCTAGCACCCGCGTAAAAATTTAAATCAAAAGAAAATTATAGGAGATTGTGAAAAAGGAATAACACGTTATATATTTCGTGCGTCCGAAGCATTTTTCTTGGTTTGCCTTGATTAAGAAATCTAACAAAAAACCAACTAAATGAAATGACTATTATACATGTTGTGATAAATAAGATATCTGATGAAAATAGTTAGTTGACGAATACTGTTCTTTAAGCCTAAATTTTCATAAAACCGAGAAATGGAAAATTTTAACAAAATATGTATCTGAGCCTATTTGGGGTAAAATTTCTGACGAAACTCTCGAAACGTTCGACAAAATATGTCCCACTTCAATTTATAGCATGTTAATTTATCAAAATCAACTTTGAACACTTTTTATCTTTGTGAATGCAATAATGGACCTGATATTGAGAGTCAAATAATGCTCTTATCTTACCATTCCAAGCTTAACATACTGAAGTAATATATTGTTTTGTGAGAAACCGTTCGTATGCTGACATGTACTAAGTAGATGTGGTATTTTGTTTTATGATCATACCATATGTACTTTTCCAATACAAACAGTTTTTGTTGTTGTTTTTTAAACATATTTCTTTTCTTTTTCTTTCTCTTATATACAAAAATAAGGAGATGTGGAATTATTGCCAATGTGACAACTATCCACCAAAGTTCAAATAAAGTGGATGTAAGCAATTATAGGCAACCATACGGCCTTCAACAATAGGAAACATCCATACCGAATAGTCAGCTATAAAACATCCCGACATGAAAAATATGAAACAATTCAAATGATTAATCTAACGGCATATATTTAGCATGTATACTATAATTTCATTTATGTTCTCCTTCGCTATGCTCATTCGAACATAAAGATTGTCTTAATAATACTTAAATATAACAAAAAGCAATGTGGGATGAGAAATTGCACTGATCAGTTTAATATTAATAAATTGTGACAATTCTGTAAATCATGGTCTCCAAATATCCAAATAAATGGAAGGAAATCTACAAATACAAAAATGTTCAACCAGAAAAAGAGATAATTCTATTTAATAACATATCATGAATGCAAAATATACGTGTCGATCTGATCAGTGAATTTTTCTCGACAAGAGAAAAGGCGCGAAATCGAAAGATATAAATGTATGAAAACCGAATTACCGAGTCTAGGCGTATGCAAATATTTATACGCCAAATTAAGAAATGAATGAATTTATCAATAATTATAAAATAGAATAATAGAAGAATATACAAATAAGGAGTTGTGGTATAATTGCTTATGAGATTAATATCCAACAAAGATATAAGCAATACTAGGTTATAGAAGTTTGTTTTTATTCTGTGAGTTGTTTTAAGTTGTTCGTTGTAGCCATTTAGATAAATTTGTTTAAATGTATTTACAATTAAACTACACTTGCGTATATTTACTTCACTTGAATTTTGGTTGATACATTTAGTTTTTTTATTGGCAATCTCCTTATTTTCATATTTGGAGAGTTAAAAATAAACAAAACATATCTTAATGACAAGTATATTGTAGAAGACCGTAAGTTGAACGTTAGAAGTAAATACATTTGTGTGTTGTTTAATTAGATTGTTGTCTTAATTATTTGTTTTCGTGGCCTAGAAGGCCAAGTGTGCTTTTTTCACCACAAGGCGTCTGTCGTCCGTCGTCGTTAACTTTTAAAAAATATCTTCTCTTCTGAAGCTCCCTGGACAGTTTAACAAAGCTTGGCCACAATCATCATTAGGATATTTAGATCTTAAAAAATGTGTTTGGTGAATCCGCATGCCAACCTACATGACCGACATTGCTAAAAATAGAATACAAGGGTGAAATGCAAGTTTATTGATTAAAGAATAGTTAATCGAAGAATTCAAAAAGAGAAAAATATTCAACGAGTGACCGAACAACACATCAATTCACGAATGCGCGTAGCGCATGAGTTAATTATCAGGGTTTTTCTGTCATAAGTGAAATTATTAGTTTTTATTTCACTGGGAAATCAATGTAATTCATTGCAACCAATGTTATTATTATCTTTAAAACCGTTATGACTAGAAATCTGCAAGTGGCAAAAATGTTCAGAATGATGAGATCTACATATCATTTACTCCTTTAAATCTGTCAGATGACTTCTTATATGAGTTATCGCCCTTATATTTGTAAATGACGAATTTTACATATGATTTCTCATATCAGACGGCTCCTGGTTTGAGTTCATGCTCTTTAATGACTATTTTATTAACATTTTACGCTTTGGCCATCTTGAAACTATAAAAAGATAGATAGACAATAAAAAGCAAACATATTCATCAAGACAAGGTCTGCAAAAAAAAAAAACCTAAAGAAAATGTAGAGACAACGAACGGTACTACAGAAAGCAAACAAACTTCAAAGTGAATGAATCGTACAGTGCCAAAGTTCTGAGGTCAGTTTTTCAAGTTAATATCTGCAAATAAAATTAAAACTAATACAACGGGTTTCTCATTCGCACTTTGTATTTTAAACAACAACAAATCACATAACACACGGTCGCATTTAGTGTAAGAGCCAACCAACTATGCTCTATTTGTAGTTTGATCAGTTTGAGTTACACGGAGTGTTTGTTTCGCGACGTTTACAAGTAATTCACAGAACTGTCTATCTAAAATAGTCACATGATATTCATGTAATATGAATAAATACAATGCTGCCGGGAGCAGTAAACTTTGTTTTCATAAACATTTAATGTTCAAATGAACAGCATTAGTCTTTGGTGAGATTATTAGGACGTTCTATTTACGTACATCGCTTCGCGATGCAGCGATTAATATTCGATATCAAATGTACGGCGGTTATATTGATATATTACCTCAGACTACATTCACTAAGTATGCATACATAATCAATCCTATTGACTTCATAAATATTGTTAGAGGGTCGACTGAATGAAGACTTTAAAAACTGAAAATTAGTTAATTTCCTTCTGTAAAAATGCATTGACTGTACAATAGAAATGAATCGCCCTGCAGTGAAAATCTCTTTTACGGTGACGGATCGCTGTTAATTTCTGTGTCATTTTGTCTCTTGTGGAGAGTGGTCTCATTGGCAACCATACAACATCTTCTTTTTTATATAAAACATTGATAAATCATTTGACACAAACAACTAGAATCTATCATTGTATTTAACTAATAGAGTGCAGATACTATTTCAAACTTTGGAGTCGCGGAACGTGATACTAGTATTCAATAAATAACGCAAATAACGCAACATGTTGATTTGTCAGAGACATTTTTTACCTTCCCATTTCTATTCAACGCTCTGGCTTTGTTTCCAATCATTAAAATATGTACGAAGAAGATATATATATAGTTGAGATTGGTACTGTATTCCACTATATTACAGAGTTGGATTCAGAGGGCAGGCCTATGGTACCCGGGCCCCTCTCTTGGAGATTTATAAATGATAAATGTATAGACTTTTTACAATTATCACTGCGAACGTTGGATTGTCATCTTTAAAATCATAGACCCGTACCTGTAACAAAACGTAAATGATTGCAATAACATCGAGCAAAAACAGTTTTATAACAAATAGTAACAAACTGTACATTGTAAGAATATACATAAACATAAATACTCATTTTACTTGTAAGTAAAGTAACTGGCTTTTCATCCAAAATCAACAAGTCTGCATAACATTAATAATGAGTCAATAGGATAAAACATAAAATTCACATAAACACTCAAAATGAACTAGTGTTTTTAAAAAATGCTCTTAAATGATGTTCGCTACTCTGCTTCAAAATAAAAAGAGTTTTGAAAAGACTGTTATGTATTTATATAGATAAAGGAAGATGTGGTATGAGTGCCAATGAGACAGCTCTCCATTCAAGTTACAATTTATAAAAGTAAACCATTATAGGTCAAGGTACGGCCTTCAACACGGAGCATTGGCTCACACCGAACAGCAAGCTATAAAGGGCCCCAAAAAATTGCTAGTGTAAAACCATTCAAACGGAAAACCAACGGTCTAATAGTATATAGTATATAAATAAAGGAACTAAAAAGCAAAAACACTATTAAGAGGTCCGTGTGCTTGTTTTGGAGATATACTTGACATTGAAAATTTGGCGGGAAATAATTCTCTTTAAACTTTTTATACATTAAACATTGTCATCCTTTTTCTTTCAAAAATTTTGAAAAAGTAACAAGGATAAAAAAACAAAATACACCACAAATGAACGTATTATTTTCAAGACTAGATAAAGCAAGCTGTGGCAATTCATTTATTAAAAAATAAAAACTTAATTTGTGTGAGGAAATAATGAGATCACTTAAGTCTAAAAGAAAAACTTTATCCTCCCAACTGAATGTAATTTCAAAAATAATAGTAATAAATGGGAGCTGCAATTAATTCAGATTGAAACACTTTTTAAAAATGTGTTACAGAGGATATGAAATTTTAATCAGACATGTTATTTCTTCAGTATTTGAGTTGCCTTAAACACAATAGATCTAAAATGATATTGGTCCAGCCAAGTTACACCTTAAACACGACTTATTGTATGAAATGGGTATATATGCTTTATGTTTTCTTTTAGGCTTGAAACTAAGACCCTTTGTAGCCAAATTAGGCTTCGATTTAGTGTATACTAGTTTTGGCTAGGGCAACCGAAAAATAAAACATTTTGTTATATTACTGTAAAACTACTTTCAGAACCTTTCGATAAAAAATGTTCATATTGGTTTTTTTTTTTAATCTTTTTAAATAAAGTGTTGTGAACAAAATAACATAATATTCAGGAGTTACAATATTTCGTTACTGGTGGGGTTGTTTATATACACAGTCCGTTTTGCAATATACAATTTTTACAAAAAAGTCTAGTGAACAAATACGGCAACAAAATTGATAGAACAACATATCAATATGTAGAGTATATACAGTGATAAATAAACTAAAACAAATGAAAAAAAAAAGAAACAGAATGCAAGTTTTTCTTCAAAATGTATAATTAAATTATTAAAAGGCTGTAGCAGATCTTTTTAATTATAAATGCTATGAATAGATGATTCAACAACATGTTTTAGAGATTTCATTCACGCTAACGTCAGTATCATTATGTAATTTTGTCACGTTTGGGCTAAAGATTTAAGCAAACAAAAAATCATGACCCAGAATTTTCAAAGCGTCATTTGGCTTTTATGTAATTTTTGTATATAAATAATAAAAAAACCCAGAACAATTATATTTTCGGGTGTTTTTTCTTTTTTTACAGAAAATTACTCCATATAGTTTCGTGTAATAATATGACATATAAAACTTAAACTGGCATATTTCTTTCAAATGAAATTCAATTTTCTTAATAATTCATGATATAACAGTCTCCGGGACAAGTTTACAATTCCGGTGTGTGTAAAAGGTTTCAGGACAAATATCTGGAAACCAATACGAACGAAGTTATCAACTTATTTTGACCTACCTCAAAAATTAAGGTGGCAGCTTTTGCAGCGGAATAGCAAACTTGTCCCAGAGACGGTTCGATCCTTAATAAGAACCGAATTGACCTTTCTCCTCAAAATTACCTATTCTCATATGTATAGATCCAAACAAATAGAATTTTAAAACTATCACAGTGATTGACAAACAAAATGGATGTTAAAGGAATCAGTCACACATACAATTCATGTGAATTTAAAATGAAAGTGAAGTTTTGTTAAATTTGTCTTCTTCGACATAAATATAATGGACTAATATAAGATATCAACTACATGTATTTACACATCATCGACTCTGTACAATGAATCCGAAAACTAAACAGACTGTTCTCCTGCTGTGTCATCATGATCATCTGTGTTAGCAGCATCGTATGCTGAAATAGATAAAATACCATCTACCGAATTAATTTGTAATGAAATGCAAGCAGTATTGATGTGAAATGATTTTAGCTAATGCTTAAAGAATTGTATGATTTATAGAACTTGCTATATGTGCAATATCTGTTTAAAAAATGAGTCATAGTTACTTGTTTTTCTTTTGTAGATGATACTTCGAAAGTATAATTTCAGTTCAAAGTACATTTTAGTTAAACGGTGAAAAGAAAATGAACGAGATACAATTATATTAAAAGATTCATCAGGGTGTTATTATTTCTAAATTCAATTTACGACAATAAAGTAAAGAAAAGCTTTATACCCAGCTTTCATTGATTTGGAATCGACAGTTTAAAATGTAATTATCTATAAAAAGAAAAACATAATAGATTTATTCAACAAAGATTACTAAATTCTACCATCAACATTATGTTTTGTAAAATGCAATAAGGTAAATTACATTACTACCATTGACACAATTAATGACTTTCCTCTGCCTTTTCATGTAATAAATTGAACAATAATATTACAAATGTATATCGTACATCGATTGACTGATTGTTGGTTGCTTTATTTTCGGAGGCAAACGTGAACAAATTGTCAAAATCAATTTAATAACCTGGCTTGCATTATATTACAAACTGGAATAAACTTTGAAATTTGTACCGTTTAAAGGAACATGTGAAGCTGTTGTTTTGAGACCGAACTATAGATGCAATATGTCAACTCCAAAACCCTTCCAAACTTTTTGGAAAGGTTTGAAAATGTATAGAGGGTGACGCTCATTCAGCACAAGGTTGGTATAACCGGATCATGACTGAGTATTAGTACATCTAGCATAGCTTAAATGATGCCCTTTTCACATGATCTTTAACCGGACAACGCAAATCGAGTTGTACCATTATTAGATACACTTGAGGTTGTACAAAGAAGAGCATAACATTTAAATCAGTTCAGAAAAAGTCTTGTTTTAAACTAAAAGAAATTTTAAGTAATCCCTCCTTTAAAACGTGTTTATTGGGCAAATTTATAATCATCATAAAGTCACAATCAAGGATAACAGTTGTTTATGTTCATTTCTGATACAACTCTGGTTAGGATATTGTTGAATTGTGTGAAATTCTAATATCATGGTATAATAAGCACAATTATAACTTTCAAAGTCAGTTTTGATACATTTCATTTGTAAATTAAAAAAAAAAAACAAAAAAAAAAAAAACACAACAACAACCAGATCTAGATGGTTCACAGAAAAAAAAACTATCTGTAGGTATCCTTGACAAAAGTTTTATAAATATAAAAAATATATTACCAACGGTGTTCTGTTCTCTGGGTCCGTTTGAAAGTATACAGTTTTCAAATTTTTCTATAAACCGTTCGACTGAAAAGCAAGAAACATTTTATATGAATGAGGAAATTATTTATATCAATTGAATAATACATTACAAGGCCGGATAACAGGAAACCTCATAATTACCGCATAAAACGCTTTTTCCTAACATTTCACGATTTAATGAGTTATTTTCAAGTCCATAATAATTCTAAGGATGTAAATATTTGTTATGTTAATAAATCAAATAAAAGAATAAGTATGCGTCTTATAGAAGACTGTTTCCATCTATACACACATGAAGTATATCAGGTTTATAATTTGTTTCGCAATACACGTGTTTCGATTCGTCTTCTTAAGTCTCACAAATGACGCTCATATCAAAACTGCAATAAAAATAGAATATCAACAAAAATGAAGAGGATGAAAAACCGAAATTTGCGAATTTAAGAAGTTGTGACAAATAAGACTAAAATAGATAATGCCTGTGACTAGAACAAACTTAATGTGTCATATGATTCAAGAAATAAAGTTGTTGCAATCTAAATGATACGAAAACTTTTCTTTAATTATTTGACATTAATTTTGATCAACAAAAAGGATGCTCTCCTTATAAGCATGCAAGACCTGGAGGTAGATCTCCGACTTTAAAAAAAAAAATTTGAAATGGTATATTTGTTGTTTGAAGTGTCGCCTATGACAAATATAGGTGCGAGTAATACATGCTTGGAGTGTCGGCTATGAAAAATATAAGTGCGAGTAATACATAGTTTCTTCATACACACTGTTGGTTTGTGTGTACTTATGATACAAATGCATCTCGGCCTGTCCACCAATTTGAACATAAATATGTAATCGTCCTAAAATCAGTCAAGCAGTTGTCTGTAGGATGACTTTCTTCAAATCGTTTGGAAATGACAAAGGTTAATCGCATTGTAAAACAAAAAGGGCATAAGGACAAACATGCACCACAAGATCCTCTTAACTAAGAATACAGAACATTTTTTTTTTAGAATAAGTGAAATTCAAAGCAATACCCGATTTGTGTATATACTTACAAGATTTTCTGACTCCTTCGCATATGCTAATAGTAGGCGTATTACTGACAAGAACCAACGACGCAAAGGTCAACAAAAGTGCAAGACCAAAACAGATAATTAGCGTTTAGTTATCTTCAACTAAAATAAACAATAATACTAGTATACAAAAGACTTTTTGCTATTAAACATCGGTACAATACGAATAAAAGTAGATGTAGGATTGACAACGAAGTGGCGGCTCACCAACATCACAGAACATGTATCCTTATTTAATTATGGTAACACAATTTGCAAACAAAAAATTAATAACGCAGAGAAGACATCTAACATTATTTATTATGTATTAGTGGCATTGGGTTAAAGGTAGCCTACAATAACAGTAAGTACGCTTAGATCGGTGGCTTATGACTTTTGTTTTTATGCTATGTATTTGTGCTCCATACTAATCTTCTAAATTATCATTTTTTAAACTGATTATGGCTGAGTATTACAGTTGTTTATCTCCAAGCATGCTATTTGGACTAAAGTGGATAGTTTTCATTGGCCATTTATCCATATTATTATAAAGACACTTACATACAGCGCTGTAGAAAACTGTGTATGTTAATCCCCTCTCCTTATTTTCATATAAACAATACCATACATAAAAAAGGGACTAGACGACAAACAATCATCTACAAACATTGATACAGAAAACTGAACTGAAACACTTATCACGATATAAATAGGAAGTAGACTCAGATATAATTTCATTGTTCTTTTTAACTTTCGTTGATTTCAAGCAATCGAGATTTTGTGAAAATATTGGCAGAAGATGCCAAAATGAATATATACACACATTAGTCGTAAATACATTGGCAACGCCATGACAAAAAAATCAAAAACGACGAAAAGACATACAACAATCTACATACATTGTATTAACACAACATAAAAATAAAACTAAAGACTTATCAACAAAAAAAACTCCACCAGAAACCGGGAGTTATATAAGGTCTACGAAAGGGCAAGCAGATGGTTCTCCACATGTGACACCAATCGTTCTTCTATAAAATACAGTGATGAGTTAATTCAAGTCATAAGGCTTCACTCAAAAACGGGTTAGTTATTTAGTCTCTTCTAACGCTACGACACTATCAGATAAATAAACCATCGGTTATGTAAATTTTCTAACCCTTAATATTGACCGACTGTGAAATTTGAGAAAACAAAATTTATCTAAAATGTCCAAGTAACAAAGCTTTACAATCAAGAGAAACACGGACCACTTTTATACAAACTAGAAGAAAACTCAGGTACTCGTAAGTAGTAAGCTAATTCTGATCCACATGTGAAAACCATCGGGCTACTGTAAGTACAAATTTGGTGATAAATGTCATTTTGTGATTTCCAATTCTAGAAAAAGAAGTCATAATTGTGTTATCGACAATTGGAACATATTCATAGCCATCTGTGAAACAGTTATTCTATATCTTTCAACCAACTCATGACAGCGTCCGTAAAGTTTTCAAAGTGATTATTTGAATTTTTCCGCTTGGAATCCCTGACTTAAGGTTAATAGCTTCCATGTTAGCAGTAACCTTTCATCAAGGACATCATGATACGTAACGAAAGATCTGGAATGTCGTATATAGTGGGAGATTTATATTCCACATACAAGAGCTGCTGGAATGTCGTACATGTAAATGTAAAGTTCACACTTCATTTCACTTAGGAGGCTGAAATCTTCTGTTTTGTTGAAAAGCTTTTTTTCAATCTATTCGTTTTGTCGATTTTAAGATCTGAGCCGAGATATCATCGTAAAATTGCCGTCTATTCTTGTATGCATGATTGACGTAAATCAGGATATGAAGCAGGCATACATTTTTAACTGTTTCTATGGTATCATTTATATCAAGTCAGATGGAATGGATACAAAGTTATATTTGCATTACTTGTCAAAACAACAACAACAAAACAATCACTATTAAACAAAATATAAAATCATGTAGAAAGTCTCAATATAAATAAATATGGTAAACACAAGAAAAGCAACAATCATTTAAGTCAGTCAATCATAATATAGAAGTAGGATTTCGTTTTTAACAATCAATACTAGACTTTTTCAAAGATGGTCGTTTGTTATGTTTTTTACTCAGTTTTTTTTGTTATATGTTAAACTGAGAGAAACAAAATTACGGAGAAATCCGGAAACGGCTATCTATATAAAAATGTGAAGATGTGGTATGATTGCCAATGAGACAACTATCCACAAGAGACCAAATGACACAGAAATTAAAAACTATATGACATTGTATGGCCTTCAATAATGAGCAAAGCTCATACCGCATAGTCAGCTATAAAAGGCCCTGCAATGACAAATGTAAAACAATTCAAACGAAAAACTAACTGCCTAATATATGTACAAAATATTGAACGAAAAACAAATATGTTACACAACAACCATTGAAAAACAGGCTCCTGACTGATTCAGTTTATTATAACTTTTTTTTACATCTAATGACCCTGATAAAATATATTTTTAGTTACCTGTTAAATAATTTGGGTTGAAACGCTTACCTTTTTTTGTGAATGTTAGAATATCAAAAATCATCGATCCAAATGTTGCCAATATAGCTAACAATGGTCGCCGACTGTCCCATACATTCCGGTTGGAAAGTTCCTTGTCTGAAATAACAAATTTATAATGAAATAAACACAATTAAGCAAGAAGAGACCTCAAATATAAAAGAAAGGAGAAGTATTCTTTATTATAATTATATTTATAAAGATGTTATACACGTCAATACGATTCAATGACACAGAAGTTTGTTGTAAAAATAAATTGGAGGACGATCCTCATATTTATCTTCAAAACCATTACCCAGGTATTTGTGCAACATTAAACACATAACAACTACTTATCACACATACTCCATCATAACCACTATTGTAAATAGTTGAATAGTGTTTTTTACAACATGTCTTGAACAAATATTTGTATCGGTCATTTTCATCATTCGGAAGATAGGTTTAAAAAATATTCGATTGTATTCAATTAACGTACAATATATTTTAACATAATCATGTGGATTGTTGCTCAGAGAGCAATGCCTAATTATTTCTTATTTTTCTTATCACCGAGTTAATATAAATATATTGTTATACCTATTTAAGTAAAATAAAATTGCCATCTCTGCTTATATGCATGATTGACGTAAATTGGAAACAAGAGTAGTTAATCGGTATTTAAAATGTCATACATTCATTAAGAAGAGTCTAATCAAGATAAGGAAAATATCGGAAGACTTCGAACAGGGGCTTCGACGGGTAAAAGACTATTGCCATGCATGCATCACCCACCATTTTAATTTACAGTCATTCCAAAAGTCATAACCGATACTTTTACAGATAATACGGCTTTTGTGGTGTCAAAACATCTAAAATCGCAAAAGCATTTCGCAAGTGAGTTGAAACACAGACACAACATAACGGTCAACCGATGCGTAATGTTGAACGTACACTTATATATGTAGCGTCAATATTATGTTTTTGTTTTGTCTCCTAAAAACTCTGTTGGAGCCAGGTTTTGGTCAGGAGCACACCAATGAGATAATAATTTCCATATAATTTGAAGATAAACGATAGGAACGAATTGATTAGAGATAATTTTGTTAACAGTTTGTCTATTCCGAAGTAAGACTAATTACTGTCAGAGAAAGAACACACACATGTATTTTTATAAACGTGTTATTTTTGCATTTGTTTCTATAATGCACTATAATTTTGTATTAGATTAAAAGTTGAATAGTGTTTTTTACAACATGTCTTGAACAAATATTTGTATCGGTCATTTTCATCATTCAGAAGAAAGGTTTAAAAAATATTCGACACGACTCTAACCAATATGTAATCAAATAATCAGTATATCGGAGTTCTTAAAATGCGATTTTCTTCCAAATCATTCGTCTGTGCATATGTTATAAAATAAATATTAATTACAAGTCTTTTGTATCAGAGTCCTGTTTCGACACATGCTCCAAAGGACAAGTGCAAGACAGATGACAGTTAAAATACATAAAATCGTCTTCTCTGTCGAGTTCAGTGTCAAGGATACTTGCTCTTCTATGTCTAAAATAGTAAGGAAATTAAAGGTTGATATTTAATCAAAAATGTTTAGAAATTCTAAATAACTATGGCATTTATTTGCTTGTGGCAATGGAACTACTAACAAGAAAAGAAAACTTAGTAAAACTTTGTATATACAATTTAATGAGTGGAGAAGCGAGTATAAAATGTATATGATACCAAATTCAAAATATTTTTAAACACACATCCAACACTTGTCGGTTTTGTTTTTGATATCTTTGGCAAAGGCTGAGATTTAAACATGTAACAATAATAAACTTTCTAAGGCAGTGGAAGGGGTCTTAAGAAGTGAGCTGAGATAAATCCATGGAAATGCGTTTTCCCAATGCTAACAGCATCTGCATATCATATACTTACGGAAAGTCGCCTCCTTTTACTGACCTAATATACTTTAACATTTAAAGTATGCAACAGTCTTAAAGTAAATTGACAGATATATTGAGAAGAAAATAATCTAGTAGGAAACCAGAGATCTTCCACAACTGCTTAGTACATACATGATCGCCTTCTACTTATTAGATCTCCTTTGTCTGACTCAATCATAAATTTCACTTGATAAAATTTAAAAGTCATTCGACTATGAATAGGAAGTCAGGACCAGTCAAGTCAGTGAATATACAACCGAATACTAATATCGCAGCCTAAAAATTAGTGGTTATCCTTAACCCGACCTTATACCAGAACTGGCTCCAACGATGATGCCTCCGGAACAGCACACAACGACTTTCTAACACACGAGATAAAAAGAAATAAAAAACGAAGTTCAAACTTCGCTATGGGTCCATCAATTGTCGTGTTATTGCAAAATTATCTATCCAATGTAAAATGACTTAATCAGCGAAGTACGAAGTAGAAAAATAGCAAGTATTAGACTTGTGCTACATTTATCTATTATAATTGTAATATGACACTGAGATATTGTAGCGAAAACTGGATTATTGATGGCAATACTACAATTTGTGGATGAGTTTAGTCGTTTAATCGTCAAAGTGTATAGTGATTAGATGTATTCTGCCTATGAAATGGGATTGTGTAAACAGTATGTCTCTACTAATGTTAGCATTCTTGAAACTAGAATCATCGTATTTGTAACACAGTGTTGCTTATCAGTGTCAATTGCAAGTGTAAAAACAATTGTATTGAGTTTATTATTAAGTAGTATCAACAAAGACCATACAAATGAAAGAGATGTTCATCTTTATCGTCATCATAGACAAATATGGTAAAAAAGGCATGTAACCAGCATTCAATTTTGAACGATATTAGTAGTATAGTCCGTAAAGAGGTCGAGTTTTTATTTTTTGTAAAATTTTAGGGGGTTGAATTGAAATCATACAGATACCTAAGTCTGTAGGTGACAATATATCAACACATTTTTAGAATACGGTATTCGATTTAAATGACGAAATTAATGATCATATTTAAAATAGGAATATTTAGTTTCAATGTAATTATATTTTTACTGTAATGAGATTAGCTTTGATTGAGATTGATCAAGATCTACTTCTTTCAAGTGGTTTTGTAATAATACCAATTTGTTAAGGAATATATATATATATGCACAGCGTGGACAAAATTTAAAACTTTTTAATATATATATATATATATACTCGGATATCTGTTATCCGAAATATTTATAGTTACATTTGTTCGTTTATTGTAATTTTTTGGTGATGTTGTACCCTTTTAGACTGGTTATATATTATATTTTGTAGTGTACTGTATCATATTTATATGATCCTTCGCCCCGTAAGATTTATCGTTGGCTATTATTCAGTCATTTTATATATATATATATATATATATATATATATATATATATATATATATATATATATATATATATATAATATATCATGTATATGATCCACTTATCATGCCAGGCTATAAATACTGTGTAAAATATATCTAGAAAACTCACCCGAACAGTTTTTTAGTTCGAATTTCAAGAGAGAAATTTGTGTTTGACCTATTTTGCAAGTTGCATTTGCCGTTATCGGACAGATTTTCCGAGACGCCTAGAAATCCAGGTACAGTTTTGATTGATGAAAGTATCCAATTCTACGTGTTTTCTGATCTAAAAAGTCTGTCATTAGCTTATTCTGAAATATTCTAGTAAATGTTAGTTTGATCTAGCGTTTCGTTCAATCTAGATAAAACAAACATTACAAAAATGATCAGCTGTAAATTAAATCAATACTGTACTTTGAAAGCGACATATTCTCAAATATTGTTTTATATCTATGAAATAAACATGTTTGTTATTATTGTTTTTGAGATGATAAGTATAGAAAAAAAAACTTTTAACATCAACGATTTGCTGTATTTACCATCATGAGGAATGTTTGAATCAAAACATTTATAATATAAAAAAGAAAATGTGGTATGATTTGCCAATGAGACAACTCTTCACAAGAGACCAAATGACACGAAAATTAACAACTTTAGCTCACCGTACGGCCTTACAATATAGTCAGCTAAAAAAGACCCCAAAAATGACAAATTAAAACAATTCAAACGAGAAAATTAACGGCCTGGAAAAAGCCTGGAATGCATGATCAAAGATACCCAAAAAGATTTAAAGCAAACACCTACATGTATTTAGTGAATAGCATGACATCGGAAAGGAGCATGACTGGGTGCATTGATATGATAAGCGTCTTTTTCTATGCATATATTGCTCGCCATTGCAAATCCACAGCCAGTCAAAACTCAGGTTTTGACTGACGTAATGTACCATGAGGTTGTAGTCAAATCAACATGAATCCTAGTACATATGTTAATTAGAGTTTGGACCAAGATTCTGTCATCCACTAAAAATGGTAATACTATAAAGTAAGCGGACTTTTTCTAACGAAGCTTTGTCTCCTAAGAACAAATATTCGTATTTACTTTATTTAATGCCTTAAATTACCAAAACATAAATTAAAAAAATATATGTGTGCACCTGTCCTAAGTCAGGAACCTGATGTTCAGTAGTTGTCGTTTGTTGATGTGGTTCATAAGTGTTTCTCGTTTCTCGTTTTTTATATAGATTAGGCCGTTGGTTTTCCCGTTTGAATGGTTTTGCACTAGTCATTTTTAGTGCCCTTTATAGCTTGCTGTTCGGTGTGAGCCAATGCTCCGTGTTGAAGACCGTACTTTGACCTATTATGGTTTTTCTTTTACAAATATGTGACTTTGATGGAGAGTTGTCTCATTGGCACTCATACCACATCTTCTTATATCTATTTATGAGTAAATAGTAAATCAGTCGTATATCCATTTAAGATACTCAACCCATAGAATACTGTACACATTGGGCTGGGGTAAACAGGAAACATATCCAGAAAGAAGGAGGATTCTTCATTAAATATGAAGTGATTTGTTTTTATTTCATCACCATGAGGATAATCTGCGAAAAACAAAATACAAATTTATTGAGGTAAAAATCAATTTTTACATAATTATGTTTTTTAATGTGTTTGTCATCAGGTCGTCAAATTAAAATATGCAGATTACTTTGTTTTCTGGAGAGTCAGCAATCTGTGTTTTGAATGTACATAATAATAATAATAATAATAATAAATTCTTTATTTAAAGAGGGTAAACACAGTTAGTTACAATTACCAATCTTCCCTGAGGCCTTCATATACAATATATACACACATGTTATATGGCAGTAATTACTATATTCTATCATGAAAGCATAACAAATTGTGTTCATGCTTCAATATTCCAATAATGCCATTACATAATGTGCTGGCAGTAGAGACAAAGGTACATTCATAAAACTACAAGCGACTGTATTGTGTTAGTGTGTTACGGTGGTTTTTTGGATTATTGTCTTTTTTTTTGGCTTATATGCCTTGTCCATAGAGTGTCTTTATACCATTTTGTTTTTCTTTGTTTTTTTATTGTTATATAGACTATAACACAACGAGACTGCTGTACCCTGATTTTTGACATTATTACCTATTACGTCGGTTTGTTCTGCTCTAACATTGTTGTCAATATGATTGAATTCTATTCGACTGTTATCCAAGTGAGATGTTTATCTAGTAATAAAACCAGGTTGTATCCATCATTGCCTACGTAAAGAAATGCGTGTACCAAGTCAGGTATATGACAGTTGTTTTCCAGTCGTTGGCTTTTTGATATTGCAATAAGATAAGAGACTTTTCGTTCTGAATTTGTTACGAGTTTGGTATTTTTGTTATTCTACTTTCAACGGCACTGCATAAAGAGATATATTAGAAAACCAACACGTTTAATTTGATATCGTTGTAAGTATACACAATGTGTATACGTACAAATTTCATTCGTTGATAAATATTGAATTACATTTTTTTTTCGATATTTAGACTGACCGGCTTATAATGTATTTGCATGTATTTGTATCTGAAGATAAAACTACAATGTAAGTTCATATTTGTCACGTTTACTTACATTCAAACTTATCTACATCTAAGTTTAATGATAATTCACATTCTTGAAAATCAATATAGCAGTAGTATTTGTTTAAGTCATCTGAAGAAAAATTCGATATTTCTAGTTCGACTTCTGAACAGGATAGGACATTTTCCTTATATCTTTCTGCTGTAGGTGTTGGAAGGCCATCCATCATAAGAAAATCTTTGTTTTGTCCTTTCGTCCACGTTCTTGTACGGTATTCAATACAAGTATTTGAACCATTGTATATGCAGGATATACTGACATCTTTTCCGAACACAGCTGGATTGGACTTTACACCACAGAAAACTGGAAATGATAATACGAAATATCAAATCACTATTACAACAGCTGAGAGAGTTGAGTATTAAATCACCATGTAAACCCGTTACGTATTCAAATACAATGTGTGGCTCCAATCTCAATAATCTAATAAGCGCAATCTATGTTTCTGCCTTTTCGGAAAGTACGTGTGGATGGAAGTTATTGGATAGTTTCTTCTACATTTTTTCACAATTTTTCTGGTGTAGGGGCCTTTTAGTGATAACCATGTTGTATCTACACCAACTTAAACCAAATAATGACGCCAGTCCTAATTTAACTTGATAAGTACACACAACTATATGTACCAAATAATCCATTCTTCAATACAGTTACCACTAATATACATGGTTATTCTTTTTATCAAGCATGGAATTGAAATATGAAATTTGAAAGATAGAAGTTAAATTATATCCTTTTTTGACTGTGCACTAAAATGACAAATGTTGTGCATATAACAACTGCCTAACTAGTGGAAGGTTAAGCTATCTATAAAACCAGGTTTAACCACCAATTTTCTTCGTAAAATGCCTTAACCAAGTTAGAAACATGGCTGTTGTTTTTCATTTGTTCCGTTGAATGATAATGTCTTTTTTTGTCAGTTTTTCCCCTCTTTGAATTTGCCTTGGAGTTCGGTATTATTGTAATACTTTTTACTTGTCAACTGAATATATATTCTAAGATGTCATGTTTAACTAATTCTTACCTCCTTCTTCACTGTAAATTTCTTTTAATATTATTGTGAGGTACGTAAAACAAATAAGCAGGAAATATTCTACATTCATTTTGATACTTCAGATCAAGAATGGATTAATTTGAAGAGAATTATTAACCTGTAAATAGATAAAACATTCCTCATTTGAGTCAACATTAAATGATATAATGGAGTTACAGAATAACGCGTTTATTTAAACAAATTCAAAAAGACATCAACGACAGCTAGTGGCATTATCTCCCTCTTATCTCCCTTACAACGTTCTCATAACTCACAGCACCAATAATGATATCAATCATCTACCTAACCTTACTCATCCGGGTGTCAGTCCTGCTCATTGTATCGGCGGGAACAAAATATACCGAAATTATTTATAACTGAGGAGGAGGTCGGAGCTTTGAATTGAAAGTAAAAATAATTCATAAAATGAGAACTTGAAAAAAAGTCTTAATTCTATATCATATATATTTTTACTTACCATTACACTAGGATTACTACTGATTGCAAAGCAGTTTGAAACCTGCGGAGGAGTGTTATAAATAAATTCACCTGAAGAGACTTTCTACAATACACATCAACAGAAAACTTCTCTGGGTTCTTAGTCATTTCTACTTACAATAGTTTTTGAAATACAAGTAAAAAAGATGCAGTTGTATCCCTATGTTCTTTTTTTAGCAACAGCAGCATTTTTCATAGTTGTTTGTTGATGAATCAAATCACTGGATATCTCTTTGTTTTAAATCAGATTCCCCCAGAAACATTCAGTTATAATTTACCTAAGAATTTTCAGTAGCTGAGTAGGAGATACTTGACAAAGACGGACGGCAGACAACGGAAGATGGACGACGTATAATGACTTCCGTTTCAGGCTCGACAAAACAAATCCACGGGGTGGTAGTTATAGGTTGGGGGTTAGATGGGGGTGTATATTTTCCTATTATTGTGTATACGGGAATGTGTCTGAAAAATGGGTCATAATTTTGGGAGATCTTATACAAAAATTATCCTCCATTTTTATGACATCCTATATTGAAATGCATTTACGTTTAATAACTGCATATTGATTTGGGGTATGATCTATATCCACTTAAATCTGACCACTTAAACATGCAGTTAATTCAACAATCCATGCGTAGATATCATGTATATACCGATAAAATATATGTGGACCAAACGATATCAATTAATATATAAAAACTTAAGGGTAGCTGTATATTTATGAATTATGAGTGATGATAAAGATTTAGTGCATATATATGCATGGGTCATATTTTAAATATTGTATATGAGTATAGGTCATTCTGTCTTAAATATTTATATACCAATAGGTACAGAATCATAAAAATGGTAGCATACGCCATGAACTTATTGCTTTGGAATACCAAACGGCATATTTTGTTAATAGTGAACAAAAAGGTAAACATGCTACACAGAAGAATAAGTGATCAGTATGCTGGAGTTTCTTTGCATGTTTGTCGAATTTGGAGGTAGACTTTTTCAACAAAATGTCGGCATTCCTATGGGAACAAACTGTGCGCCTCTCCTTGCCGACGTCTTCTTATTTTCATATGAGCGGAGTTCCTTCGTACACTTGTTCAAAACAAGAAGATAAAAGAAGCCAGATCATTTAATTTCATATTTAGATATATTGATGATGTTCTTTCCATTAACAATCCAAATTTTTCCGATTG